TGAAAAGCTTGAAACAGACACTTATGTTCAATACTGAGTTCCTCCTTGCACCAGACGTCATCTGTACAGAATTTGATATGGAGATAAAACCTTCAAATTGACAATTGGACCGTAGCTACAAGCCCCTCTATTTATCTTCTATATTTATATTCAAGTGGAGGAAAGTTTCTCTTGTACTTTGAACTCCAAGATATTATGATTTCAAATCATGTATTTACTTAGCTCTATCAGTTGACATTAATTTATTTATAAAACTATAGAGTGGAGAAAAAAGCAGCATGTCGGTTAGGTATCCATCCTATATTATAAGTCACCATTTCATGTGGTTTTGTAATTGCATTATCAGAATTGCTGTTATGAAACTCTGGCGAATATTGATATAATAGACCCACTATGTCACGATTTTGTGCATGTAGGCCTACAGTATCTAGTTACCTTAAAACCATAAAGATAAACGCCCGCTGGCAGCTTTGATTTTTAATAAAAAATATTTGGCAGTACAGTAACAATCACTAGTATGAAATATTCATACACTTCATTTGAACTTTCTCGGGCGATACTGCATAATATTAGCAAGTCAAAATCTGGCAAGAATTGGGCCTCTTAGTGTTTACGAGTTAAAAATTGAAAGCGTTTTCAAGAACAAGATCAATAAATCCTATAAAACATTTTTTGAGTTTTCTATTTTGACTATCTAGCAATTGAATGCGTTTTCAAAAACAAAGACAATGACTCATACTCAATATTTTTCGATTTTTCTGATTTCAATAGGGTACATCCTTGGGTGATAACAAAGGCTCAAAGCAAGATTCGTCACAAATGTGTCAAGAATTGTGCCTTCTAAACTGTTTACAAGCTAAAAATTGAAAACTCATACTAAATATTTTTTTTTATTTTCAATAGGGTTTATTTTTGGGCGATGACAGTCATTCACTGCAAGTTTTGTCAAAATCTGTAAATAATTGACCATTCTAGAATGTTTACAAGCTAAAATATAATGCGTTTTCAAGAATAAGGCCAATAGCTCATGTTCCAAACAATAGAAGTGGTACTTCAGCTTATTTACTTGAGAATTGTACATTGTACATTGTAGAAGAGGGGAAGTATAACATGGTAGAAGATAGAAAGTATAACATGGTAGAAGATAGAAAGTATAATATGGCAGAAGATGGAAAATATAACCCTAGTAGAATATGGAAAGTATAACATTGTAGAAGAGGGGAAGTATAACATGGTAGAAGATAGAAAGTATAACATGGTAGAAGATAGAAAGTATAATATGGTAGAAGATGGAATATATAACCCTAGTAGAATATGGAAAGTATAACATTGTAGAAGATAGAAAGTATCACATTGTAGAAGAGGGGAAGTATAACATGGTAGAAGATGGAAAATATAACCCTTGTTGAATATGGAAAGAATGACATTGTCGAAGAGAGAAAGTATAACATTGTAGAACTGGAAAGTATAACATGGTAGAAGTTGGGAAATATAATATGGCAGAAGATGGAAAATATAATATGGTAGAAGAGGGGAAGTATAACATGGTAGAAGCTGGAAAATATAACCTTAGTAGAAGAGGAAAAGTATAATATTGTAGAAGATAGAAATATAACATGGTAGAAGATAGAAAGTAAAATATGGTAAAAGATGGGAAATATAATATGGCAGAGGATTGAAAGTTTAACATGGTAGAAGATGGAAACTATAACCCTAGTAGAAGAGGAAAAGTATAATATTGTAGAAGATAGAAATATAACATGGTAGAAGATAGAAAGTAAAATATGGTAGAAGATGGGAAATATAATATGGCAGAGGATGGAAAGTTTAACATGGTAGAAGATGGAAAATATAACATGGTAGAAGATGGAAAATATAACCCTAGTAGAAGAGGAAAAGTATAATATTGTAGAAGATAGAAATAACGTGGTAGAAGATAGAAAATATAATATGGTAGAAGATGGAAAGTATAACATGGTAGAAGATGGGAAATATAATATGGCAGAAGATGGAAAGTATAACATGGTAGAAGATGGAAAATATAACATGGTAGAAGATGGAAAATATAACCCTAGTTGAAGAGGAAAAGTCTAACATGGTAGAAGATAGAAAGTATAACATGGTAGAAGATGGGAAATGTAATATGGTAGGAGATAGAAATATAACATGGCAGATGATAGAAAGTCTAACATGGTAGAAGATGGAAAGTATAACATGGTAGAAGATAGAAAGTATAACATGGTAGAAGATGGGAAATATAATATGGTAGAAGATTGAAATATAACATGGTAGATGATAGAAAGTCTAACATGGTAGAAGATGGAAAGTATAATATGGCAGAAGATTATGACAGAAATATAACATGATAGAAGACAGAAAGTCTAACATGGTGGGAGATGAAAAGTTGAAAATGGTAGAAGATAGAAAGTATAACATCGTAAAAGTGGGGAAGTATAACTATAACATGGTAGAAGAGGAAAAGAATAGCATGGTAGAAGATATAAAGTCTAATATGACAATTAGAAAGGAAAGGAAATGGAAATATAACATGGTAGACAATGATCAGTATGGTAGAAGATGGAAATGACGTAGTAAAGGATGGATAATACAACATCATAGGTTATATCGTTGACAATTTGCATTTTTAGTTGAAGATGAAGCAAAGAGATGATGTATAATATAACATCCTCGAAAATTTTGAACAGGTTTAAATAAATAAAGTTTTTTTTTAAGTGGTGGGGAGGATTAAATTGATGGAGATTTAACCTGTGTATTATTGAAAGGAGATCATCCATACCCTCATCCTTCAATACATCTATTGTAAATTTATCAAGCTTGGCGAGTTATACAGTAATAATATCAAGTTTTTATTCCTCTTATCATATTGATCAGCTAAACTTATTAAATAGATGAATGATGAAATATAATACACGTGCTTTTCACGATTCATACTCAATCAGGTCTCATCCTGTTTATCTTATTAAACTAAAAATTAGTTAGTATCATAATACCTACGATTTATTAACTTCCATGTAATTAAATACTCCTCATTTCAGTGCATTCCATTTCCCTATTATTGATTTATTTATTGAAACAATATTATTTATTTCATATCAATATCTATATAATTATTCTTATCGTTATGGATGGCATCGTTCTAATATTAATATCTCACAAACAATATACATCTACTTAATCTAGAGTATATTTTAACAATGGTGTTATCTCTCAATCAGATTAATTCTTCACTTTCTCTACACAGGTCTATATAACTATGAACTCACTATAATTTCATAGTCGGAGAGTTGCGAACAGTAGGTTCCATTAAAACAAAACGGAAATCAACTCCAAATGTGTGGAATTGCTTCATCCAACATTGCAAACTTTATTCTGTTCATTTGATAATAAAATTAAAATTTGTTTTATAGGAATGAATTTCTGAATGAGCTAAGTTTTTTATTTGGTAATATGTTTGAGCAGGATCGAAAAAGATATAAATCATTGTTCAAACATGTAATGTTACACTCTATGCCTGTGTCACACAGCCAACACATCCAAATATCACTGGACAAAAACCTAACAGAACATCATGATAATCATTCTGCTCTGTATATCATCAAACATATAGGAAGGGTGGGATATGAATTTACTTTGACATAATTATATAGATAAAAGATGCTACGTGTTGAAGTTAATCCATTGATCTAAAGTGATTTTCCCAGGATCTTTGTGACATCCCAATCTTAATCCTAGCAACGCATCATAATAGAAACTAGTAACCACGCACTCAGTTATTGAGTAGGGTCTTTTTACTATATAACCATCGTCCCTTTATATCACAAGGTTGCTGTGTTATTTGAGGCTTTACATTAATGTCTTGTGAACATTAAAGAAATATTTCTATCACACATCCCTATATTGATCATTAAAAGTCGATGTAGAAACTAATATTGCGAGCACACGTTAGAATACCCAGGTGTGCTCATATTTTTGTAACTTATATTTAACCAGTCCCATAAGATTCATCTGACCATGAATATTCTCAAATGGAATTTCAAAATATAATGTTTCAAAAGTAATTGATGATGGCTTGTCAGGCAAGGTAATACACACCCACTGTGGTAGCATTGTTTTTCAATAAAAACATTTTGCAGCTCTGTAACACACATTAGTATGAAATTTTCAACTTTTGAGTGATTTACTTCTTTAAATTTTTGTCGTTTTCAATGGGTTCCGATACTTAAAAATTTGGTCAAAATCTCTCATGAATAATAGTTGATATGGTTCCCAGGTTCCTTCTTGATTCATTATGAACAATATTCACTAATAAATTTTCATCTGTCTTGGAAGCAATTTACAAATTTTGCAAATTTCGCCAGTTTATAAAAAGTAAAAATAAAATTCTTGTTGAAGAAAAATTGAGATATGTTTTTGATTAATATTTAGTCCTTGCTTAACAAGAGGGATGTGACTGGATACTAGGAGCTCATATTTTTTTTATTTAATCACAAAATCTGATTGTTATTCATATCTCATAAGCTTTTGTCTGGTTTCAATTGCTGCGCAGATCGTGACTATATTTGGGAAAATATTTTGCAAATGACTTAACTTAGAGTCCACTCATCTTTTGACTGGCCTGAATAAAGCAGTGTTTTCTGAGTTGTGACATGAAGTGTAGATTAAGAATCAGTGTGGTAAAGGTTAACAATGAATACTATTGAATTGTATTTAGTGGATATTAAGAGGATTATCATCACCTAGATGTCAATCATGACTTGGCACATACATCATTATATTTATAACACCATTTCTATTCAACTGGCACCCTATTGAAATACAGGAAAAGACTAAAATAAAAGCAACATGACAAGGTACTAAATTAAGTATTCAAAGCAGGATATATATAGATAGAAATTTGTGTGATTCATTCGCGTTGCAAGTGGAGCTACAAAGAGAAAAATAGTTTGTACCCCTAATCCAAAAAAACACAAAATTTATTTCTAAAAAAAATATTATTTTATTTTACTCCAAAATATGTGTCAGGATTTAGGGAAACTTGCTCCTGTAATTCTTCCACAGCACTGGTGGCATTTCAAATTCATGCTTCTTGGGAAAATCAAAATCAGGTTGCTGGGCACTTTTTGAAAGTGAAATTCATACTAAAGTTTTAAAAAATCCAAATAAAGACCATGTATTTTCAAGAATGATAGAGAATATTATGGCATTCTTATGTAAATATATAAGCCACTGACAAAGGAAACAGTGAGTAAAGAAGAACACATAACATAATATAATAAATTACTTGGTTTATCACAGATGATATAAGATATAAAATGATATTATTCATGATATTTATCTACAGCTAAAACTGTTGGAGCTTGTTTATCAATACCCAATTTCTTGCCATTTACAACTAATAGGACTGGTGAATCAACCCTTATACTGTTATATACTATATTCTACAATAAATACAAACATATCATAACAATTATACAACATGAATTATGTATAGTTGAATTCCTAAATCAATGTCACTTGTAGTAAACACGCTCAATTTAATATTAACAAACTGAATTCATTCTATATCTTCAAAGGAGAACTTGATGAAATATATGATTGCCAATTATTCTACTATAAATTCTTGTATACTTCTGTTATTTAAGCAAATCTTAAATTGGAAGAATATATTTTGATGTAGTGTTTATGAAATCATACTATACAATCAAATATAATAAAATTGTACTTACTAGTTCTTTATGGTGGACATTGACTGTTTGTACATAAGGTTCTGGTATAGCCACTGAATCGCCTATTTTCATACCACGTCCTGGTGCAATATTATACACAGTCACAGGAAAACAAGTTTCTTCAGTATCAACCATACAAAATGTACTAAAAAATATAACATTCATAACTATCAACAAAATTTTCCATGCTGAGTTGAAGTCAACCTAATATTTGCTTTTTTAAATGAAGGAGCTCAATTTCTCAATTTCACATCTATGCAATTAGTTAATTTAGATGCACATGTAACAATCTCACTTTTTAAAAATTCATTTTGATAATACATTTGAAAATGAAGTGTCTTGAGAGAAGTTGATACTCCAATGCGAAAAAAAAACCCAACCACATAGTAAATATTTCTAGTATGGGTATAAGTTGACAAACTTTGATTTATATGAAAATTTAAATTGAGACTTACAAAGGCACAGAATCTTCTGACATTACTGAACAAACAACTTTACCAACTATTACACTTTCTAAATTGGTATCTGATTTTAATTCTTTTAATTTGACAGGTTTTAATGTGACTTTATCACCTTTTGGTCCTGTGTAACTTCCACCGTTGTAAGGTCCTAAATCTTTCTCATTTACTTGACCTATCATAGTCTCTAACTTTTTACCTTTTACTTTTCCCTGGAAAAATGTAAAAAATTTTCTAGGGTCAGTTAAAAATTTTTTATGAGTTTTTCACACCCTTTTGACAAACCTTTGGGAATAACCATTACATTCCCTTAAAAACACAGATAAAGGGAGACAACCACAGGCAAACCTTGTTTTAAAACCTATAAATTCTTTAACAATAGAAAACAAGAATTTCTGAGAATGTTACAAGACATACCTTGGAATCTTTAAGTTGTTTAACATTAGTTAGATATGCTATAAGTTGTTTTTCTCTATCTTTAGGTTCACTCCAACTGGGATCTAATAATGATGCTTTAGTTAAACCTTCCAAAGCTGCTTGATAATCTTCTTGATATTTATAGGCCTAAAAATTACATAGTTTACATATGAAAGAAGGCGTGAATGTCAAATAAATATCAACTGGAATTGTGACTAAATACTTTCTTTCTGTGCTCAATAATATATGGGTTTTAGTTAGTATTGTATTAAAAGTCAAATTCAAAAATAATATTGTAAATTGGCATGAACTGCAGTTAAAAGGTCTTAGGATATCTGGTATAAAAATGATTGCAATTTAAGTCAAATCCATGCAAACTATGTACAATAATCTATGTGCAAACTACTTACATTTGCTCTATTATGATGTAGGTCTGCTGTTGAATTTGCTATACTGTCTTTTTCCTGCAACATAATATTAATATCTAAATCATAGAACCAAAATAAATCTAGTCTAGGATCATTAGTCAAAATCTTTTTGTATATTTTTTCATTTAGATTTTAAACTTTAAAAAATACAATATTATAACTATAAAGACAGCAAAATGGTAAACTTACGGCTTGTTGGTATGCACTCATACACTGTTTGAGAATTTTGGGTTTTTGTCCAGCAGCAAAAAACATGGATAAGTAGGCATTTCCAAGTATACCTACAATGTAATGAATTTACACATCTAATAAAAACCTGAATGGGCCACATTTTGAATCTGATTAAAACATGAAAGATAGTGGACCACAGCCATATACGCCCTTTACAGCATGCGGATGGTAAAAACGAAACATCCAGTTTAAATTTCATCAAAATCTGTTGAAAACTAAGAGAGTAATAGCATATTCAAGATTTTGGGGCAAGGGCAATAACTCTGCTTCTAACGGTCAAAAATAGCTCAAATTCGAACTTGATCTTCTTTTTATGAATATTATACACATACTGAATTTCATTTGATTCCATCAAAAAAACTAGTTTTTAGAGCGTTTACAAGCAAATGTTGACGGACCGACCGACGGACCGACCGACCGACCGACCGACCGACCGACCGACCGACAGGGGTGCCGACAATATACGTCCACATAGAGAGATGTGGGCGTATAAAAAACCATACATGACAAGCGAATAACCTTGACCTTTAGATTCAGTGTTCACACTGTTCAAGAATATAATATATGGAGTTTTGTTCATATTCTGAAGTCAATCAGCGATTTTTCATTAGTAGAAGGAATAATCTTGGTTTTATTTACTTATTCAAAAGTTTTTGCATCTATTCATTAAAACCAAGAATAATATACTTTAAAACATAACTTGTAAATAACAGTAAAATTGATGATTAAATGTATAAATCAAACCTACTCCATGAGATTCCATCTTGAATATCTAACTGTACTGCTTCTTTAGCTTTTTCCACACTTTCTACAATTAATTTGGTCTTTTCTTCTTGGGTACCTGGCATTTGTCTCATAACCATTGACAAATTTCTTAAGGACACTTTATTTTTAGACTTAAATGACATGAAATGTTGAGAAGTCTAGAAGCATACATATCTTACAATTTTTATTTGCAATCTAACGTTAAATTACACCAAGGTTATATTTCAACATATTAGCTTCAGCTTAGAGCTTTTCAGTGCTATTTCATAGATTTTGACCTGCACAACTATTTATGTAGCTACTGTTGAAGATTTGATGCCACTCTGCAACTATGTTTGTCAACTTGGCATCCCCTTTGGAGTGTCTATGTAGCTAATACTGTTTATTTTATATACCGGAATTAAATTTGCATATTATTCAAAACAAATCCCCTGTCAAATCATGTGCTTCTGAAAATAGATTCTCATAAAGAGTAATGAATATGGAATAAAATTCCTTGATGAGATGTCAACTGATCCCATTGCAGAAAATTAAAGGTGCTATGTAATGATATTTTTTTTACTTACATGATCTAAAGCACCAGAAAAACAATTTTTAGCACCAGTCATATCACCTTTCTTCCAGAAACTTTCTCCAAGTTGATTCCATCCTTCTACTTGTTTAGGATCTAACTTAACAGCTTTTGATAAACAGTCATGAGCCTCTTGATTAAAATCAGCACTTACATTTAAAGTTTTACCCCTTAACATTGAAAACACAGCTTTATTCTTTATTTTATCTACAATAGCAATCAAAACTAATAAAGAAAATACAATTAAGCTGTATTTTTGACACATATAATGACAATTTAAATTGAAAATTTGTGTGATTTGTTGCAAATTCAATGAGAGTGTTGCATCAAATTCCATGGTAAGGAATGGACCCCCTTGGACATAAACCTGGCTCCGCCTCTGAGGGCTTAGTTGACTTAAGATCTTTATTTTAATCAGATTTGCCGTGTGATTTTTATTACCTGATATATCATCAAGATACTTCATTGTTTCTTCCAATTTTGATTGGACGTCCTTTATTTTATCACTTGCCTTACCAACACCATGAGATTCTATATAGTTATCACGAAAACTGTACAAATGTGAAACTGTTTCCTAAAATGCAACTATCAATCTTAGTAAAAATAATTCCAACATTTGTTTTGAATGTCCTTGGGTCCAAAGAAATAAATGGTCTGATAGCTTTAAATGTGTAATATATACACTTCTTTTCCACAATATTCTATATTTCTTGTTGTAAAATCACTATTAATAGCCTACAAAATAACAATTTTTTCATATGGCATTTTCAATTCCATCAACATTAAAGCAATCAAAGTCTCAAAGTCTTTTGGAGGTGATAATTTATTTCATCAAAAAATGATTGGTATAATGGGATTCTGTAAACTTTGTGCCCATACATTTGTGCTGCACTTCTGCCACTATTAATAGGCCTACTGGAAATGCAATGTCAATAAGGTACAGTCAGTAGTTTCTTTGACTTTTTGTTTCTGTAATTTTGTGGCAAGGTCTTATTAAACTGAAAAAAATTCAGCTAAAACATGTATACAGAGTTAAATGGCATTAGCTCTACACATCCACTTTACCTCTGCTGTCAGTAACCATTCAGCAGCCGTTTTTGATGTAATTTCTTCGTTTGTTAGGTTTTTGTCAGCCATGATGAGATGCGGTAACATAATTTTAAAGAATGTTAAAATATAGAAGACGATACTATATTTATACAACACAACATAAGTAATATTGTTAATGTTTCAAGACCACAGCAACAGTTTTTTGCCCGGACATGTCTGGTTTGGTTTGGTTCTTATAAATAAATTACAACATTAATTTACAATTACATCTACTATGGCCATGGGGATTAGGCTACTGATAAAAAAAAATGATTCAACGAAGGAGATAAGAATGTTATGTCATCAATTGTCTTCACCGTTATTGGGAATTGATTGTTTTAATCACCATTATTCGTTAATGCTACCTAGATGTTACATAATTACCGACTGAATCAAATCAAATTAAGTAGCGTCCATAGTTACACCTTTTTCGTTTTTTGGATTACTTTTATTACACATTTTGTACGCATGTAACGAAAAGCTGAAACATGGCGCTGATTTTGACTGAAGAAATTATCAGAGATAGGGTTAATTTGATCCACGAAAACCTCGGTAATGTTAATTCATTTTTGAATTTAAATGGTACGTTTGACTCCGGAGCGATACATACCATATACATAATTCATAGATATTTTGAACCATCTACTTTTTGGTAATGGAATTAGAAAGCTATCTATAATGCGAGTTCTGACTCGTCTGTCTTTTCTATTGACCTGTCCAATGTATATATAGGCTTAGAACACTGAACAGGGCGAATAAATTTTATATAGCCGACAACTGTCAAAATAGCCATCAGAGGCTAGAATCAGTGGGATGTGTCAGACTTACCCACTGTCTGACTATAAGCTTAGTCAAAAATGAACAAAGAAATTATGGGTAGTTTTTCTGAAGTCATGAATAATTTGATGAACTTCCACAGAAATATTTCTATTAAGGAGAAATGTTAGACTCTCTATAACAATAAGCATACAGAGTCAATTGTTATACTAACTACAATTAAAAATCTACAAGCAAGACAATTCCGTTAATCAAAATATTCAAAGTATGGCAAAATCGAAGGAAAAAGTTTTGTGGAAGTGAACTCTTCAATCCAATTTCACAAATTATATCTGTATGAATTTAAATATTAACTTCAAAATAGTGCTGAAGGTCTTGGTATTCGATTGGCTTTGGCCATTGGGTTGATGAAAATACCAACCTGTGAAAAAATTATTATTGGAAAAAATTATTTTACAGAAGAATGAGAATCTTATTTTATCACAAGAAATTTCTGGAAGGAAGTGTAGTCCTATTTATTCAAATGTTAAATTTGTTTATGCTATATTTCTATGGACCCAAAGACATTCTTGTAATTATTAGCTTAATTTTATTCCACTGGGAGGGGAACATTTTTTGCTAAATTGAAAACTTTGTATCTTTTAGAGGATGTTAAAGCTTTATCATTACCAGGAACTTACCATGAAAAATTTGTTGCTCTTGGTAAATCTTTACGCAAATTTTCTCGACTGAAAGAACTAGACTTGTCAAGAAATAATATTGAATCATTAGAGGTAGGTTTACATATTATTATTGATATCTATCATAATCTGTATACTTTTTACACTTTTGAAAATGAAAATCAGATTCTGAACTTTAAATTATGAAAACATACTTATCATCAATAAAGATTTTTATATTGATTTTTTTATGAAGAATATCACAAATTATTGAATGAGTGTTTCAGATACTTCTATAAGCTTATATGCTTTTAAACTTTCTTACAGGGATTGGAAAATTTAAAGTTACTAGAAAAACTAAATTTGTATCCTTTTTATTGCACATTTATTATGGTGTGAAAGAAAGCTGTTGTAACCCTTCTTTATCTTTTTATTTTTATGCTTTGAAAGAAACTCAATGTTTGATGAAATAACTAATTGGGAAAGCATGTTATACAAGCATATTTAGCAAAATGGATGCTATCAGTGTCCCTAATGCAATAAAAAAATTCCCTTTAATGAATTATCGATATGTTGACTGAAAATTGGAATGGTGCAAATTGAAAATTAGGAAACCTCTTTACAAATACTTTAATTTTGGTACTTGAAATGAAAGAAAACAAAGTTGTTATAATAAATGTTATATGTGATTTGTTTTGTTTTATTTTTTCCTTGCTATAGAAATGATTAGATATTATAATGGTATTAGTTCTTTAGATGAATTAAAGAGATTGAAATATAACAGTAATTTACGCGATATAGATCTACGGTTAAATCCTGTAACCAGAAATGAACCAGACTATCGTTTATATTTAATACATATGTTACCAAACCTTCAAAAATTAGGTAAGGTTGTGTTTTTGAGATGAATAATGTTTTTTAAATCAACATATCTCCATCAGTTCAATCACGGGCATAAAAAGAAGACAGAATTTTGTTTCACTTTTATAAATTTAGAATTTTTGTAAGTTTCTTTAAGTTTAATCTTTGTCCAGATTTATATTTTGAATTTACTGTTCCAAATATACAGCAAATACCAAATATTTATGTGATAATTAGTTTAGTGCTTTCTCCAAAAACAGCACAGAATTTTGTAATTAAATGTAAACAATCAATCTATCGATAGTAGTATTGATATCTGACTGTTGTATATTGTCTTCACCCTTGTCCGTCCGTCTGTCCACAATTGGCTTATGAACGCGATAGAGACTACAGTTTTTATCTGATTCAAATGAAATTTGGTGTGATCATTTATATTGATGAGATCTTGGACAAGTTCGATATTCATGATTTTTCGATGAATCGGTTTTGGGTTATTGCCCTTGACTTAGCCAAAACACGTCAAAATTGGCTTGTGAACGCGATAGAGACTACAGTTTTCATCTGATTTGAATGAAATTTGGTGTGATCATTTATATTGATGAGATCTTGGACAAGTTGGATATTCACGATTTTTCGATTAACGGTTTTTGAGTTATTGCCCTTGACTTAGCCTGAACGAATTAAAATTGGCTTGTGAACACAATAAAGACTACAGTTTTCTTCCAATTTAAATGAAATTTGTTGTTAATATTTACAATGATGAGATCTTAGTCAAGATTGAATTTGACAATTCTTTGATCAACAGATTTTGAGTTATTGCCCATGACTTAGTAAAAACGCATCAAAATTTGTTTTCAATCAGGTGATAGTTTATGTCAGAATTTTATTAAGTAATGTGTATTTGTTTAAATCAACAATATCTTGCATAAATAAGATTTTTGGTATGATTTGACACAGCTAGGGGACTGCCCTTGACATACTGAAAATGTATGAGAAAGGTGGGCGTATCTTGCTAGGCAATCACTTGTTATTATAATAAATATTAATATAATAAACATCTTGTTGTTATAAGATGATCGTGGTGTAAGAGATAGAGAAAGACAAGCTGCTTTAACACATTTTAGTACTGGTCAAGCTACTGAAATGACATATCATCCTGTTGTGGAAGAAGAGATAGAAAGACAGCCTAATCCAAGAGTAACAGCTATCAATAAATTGACAAAGGGATCAACAGGTACATAGAAGTAATTCTTAATTATAATAGTATTGTAAATTTCAGTGAAAGATACTTACAATTAATGAACACCCAATAAATGACATTTGATCCAGTTCTCATTATTACAGCATTCGATGACTTGTGCCTACTTGTGGAAGCACGAACGCGTTCGTTTTAGCGATGACTTCATCACTCGTGCTTACTCGCGCCAGGCCAAAGTAACCCACACACCTGGGCCGGTTCATTCCATAACCATGTTTTGTAGAAATCAGTCAAGAGTTGTGCCTTCTAGAGTGTTTACAAGCAATTGTGGACGAACTGACGGACGAAAATGGAAGACAGCAATAAGCACCCCCCATTTCATGTGGGCATATAAAATACTATTTAGTATTATATGAAGTAATTAATTGATATTACATATAAATTATTTTATAAATTTTACCCCTAGTTTTAGATGATGATGATGTAGCTGTAATAGATTTAGTATCAAGAAATGATGGTGATTTAAATAAACCAAGACCTGTCACAGGGTCTAATAATAAACAACCCAAATCAACAGATTATTCCTTAACATGTATGTAATATTTTTCAAATGTTTCCAAATTCTTCAGAGTGCAGAGACCCTGTGCTAAATAGATATAATTTTTTTTCCAAAATGATGTTGTTTTCTCTTTTGCCTCAATAAGATGCAGTATAGTAGGAAATAATACTGAATATCATTTTTGAATAATTCATTTAAGTTCTTTATTCTATTGAAAAATTTCATTGTGTCATTTATATTATTTTTGTTTGTTTGTTTGTTAGCTTTAACTAAACTAGCTGATAAAGAAAGTGATAGAATAGATGTTTTACAGAGAGATAAAAAACAGGTAAATACGTTTTATATTTCTTTTTATATTTATCTGTTCATTTTATAGTTAGTTTACAATAATAAAAAAATATACCACTATAATTCATTCAATTTGAATATTTAGTTGGAGTTTCTGGGAATTGGAAGAAAAACGCAATAGTATAAACTTTAGCCATGATTTGTATGAAAATTTGATGGGCATTCCAACAAATTATGTTTTATTAGTTATCAGAATTGCAATAAAATAATGATGTAATAATACTGATACATATATCATTATTTGTATTATTTGGTTGTAGTCGGCCCATACTGCAGATGAAGCAGAAGCAATGACAAGGTTACGTGAAAAATATCCCAACATACCAGTTGATGTCTTACAACATTCACCTCACTATAACAATAATCAACAAGGTCAACAACAACATAGGTATGTGATAGGATTAGACTACTTTTATTTCCTACAGTTACTGGAGATCACAGTTTATTTCGGTTAGAGATAGATTAAGTTGTTGACAACACATGTTGTTGTAAGCTAAAAAAATAGGTATCATATCAGTTATTTAAGTAATGAGATGATGACCTACCTGTAGATTAAATAAATATGTTATTCCAGGCAAGATGGTTTTGTGAGATTTCAAGATGAAGAAGAAGCATTTACCAAATATAAAAGTCATGGATATTTTACAGCAAACCCTCATCAAGGTAACTCATTGAATCAGCATGGTCTTTTACCCAGCATAGGATAGTGGTACCACAGCATGAAATATTTCACAACAGATCTTTATTGCTTTCTGACTGAAAACTTTTGATTATTTCTAGTGAATGATTTACCAGAGTCACAACAAACTGTCATAGATACAAAACAAGATGAAGAAATTTACCCTCAATTTAAAGAACTTCCAAACTGGACAACACCACTTGAAAGACAACATGGGGATAAGCAAAACAAAAGAAATAAGCATACAATATATCAAGATAATGAGGTATTGTTTTTATACATTAATCTATATGGACATATCTCCTTCGAATTTGAGCTCTCTCTACGAATATTAACCCCCCACTGAAACTCTGAGTAACAACATGTTTAAGGTTCTGTTTTAAATTTCTAATCTAGTACTTATGTAAAGTTCATAATTTCATTTCAATAATACAATAGTTAACTACTAATGATAAGTTTTTTGAATTTCTCTTTCTCAGATAGAGCAAACATTAGAAGAACTTGGCATTCCTAAATATCATAAAGGTGAAGCTAGACTGACAGAAACAGAAGAAAGAATTAAATTAAAATTGGATTCTAATAAACCTTATGCATCATTTCTATACCAACTGTTAGACATTGTAGATCATTATTGGAATGGTTCAAAATCTCTACATAATCATGTTAAATTTAAAGGTTAGGATATAATGCTATATTTATTTGTATTAACCCTGCATGGATAATGTGATGACATCAAGAGGAATGATGCAATATGGCATTGTAGTTTGTACAGCCATAACTGTATATATATTTGACTCCAGAGAGTCAAACTGCATATGACAAATTGTACACATATCCCATAAACAGCTTCATTCATGGTCTTGGCCAATTTTTCAGAGCAAGCTTTGACAATAGTTCAGAAATATTTTGGTGATAACAGACAAAATGAATTAGTATCAGACAATGTACAGAAACAAATAGCAAGATTGAAAGAAGAAAACAGATTATTACGTCAACAAATTGCTGACCAAACACAATTAAATCATCTTTCTTCTGGTGAAGAAAAAATCAAAAGGTCTTTAAAACAAGCTCAACATGATTTGGTAAGACATAGAAAATCTTTATCTTTTATTGTCCATGCAATTAGGATATTTTAAACGCTTATTAATTTGGTTAATTTGCATAACTTGTCCCTAACTTAAATTGATATTAACACATTATCTTGAATGCTACCATGATTCTTATCACAGGAAATCCTCCAAGAAGAAGTTACAAAATATGTTGCAGAAAATAAAAACTTGAAGATAAAATTAAAGAATCAAGAACAACAGAATGTAGCTTCTAATCAGTCACATATAGGTAAGTAAGTCTAGATATTTTTGCACATCCTGGTTCAACTCCAAACATAAACAATTAATTACTTTAATTAGGATGAAGTAACAATACATGTTAGACCAAATTTGTATTCATTACCACTTAAAACTACCTCAAACTGAAGTGCATAATTATATTTGCTCAGCTCTGATGTTATTGTTATACTGTTAAAATTGGCAAAGTTATGTTATGTTAATGTTCTTTTCTAGAAAAGAGGTAATGGACTGATTTTATTCTGTAGGACAGCCAGTATATAAAGATGTATTTTAATTTGATTTTCAGAAGAATTAGAAAGAAAGAATGAAGCATTATCTCACGAAGTAGAAGGTTTAAGAGTTAGGCTAAAGCAATTTGCTCAACTACAAGAATTAACTAACATGTTACAAGAAAGTCATACGTAAGTTCATCATGAGTCCTAGATTTTCAAGTAGGACATCAAATCAAATTTTCTTAAAGGTTTTTTCTATTGAAAAAGAGAAAAATATGTTTCTGCCCTATTGATAAATTAATTGAACTGCTCTCTATAATATCTTTGGATTTCAACCTAGTTTCCACCTATCAGTGTTGCAGGTCTGAGGGCTGATATGGAAAATGCATCTAGTCGATTGGACAATAAACCAAGTGTGCTGTGCACGTTATAGATCCCCTAAAAGGATTGTTAAGAGGTTTTCTGAAATTGTATATGTATTGGAGACAATGATAGCATCAATTTGCACAATTTTTCAATCAAACGTCAGTGGTTCCTGCAATTGCTCTATGTCACTTATCGCAAATTATGCTTAAGTGGAATTGCAGGAACCACAATTCGAAAAGTGGCATAGTGTAAATCGATGCTACCCAATACACACATTTTAGAAAACTTTAATCGCTTTAACAGTTGGAAATTGATATTTATACAATCATCAAGTTATATATTAATACACTTGTTCTAAAAATGTTAATGTAAATGTTCAAGTTTTTAAATTAATAATGTATCATAAGTTGTCTATCTGTATTTTATTGTTCGTGCTATATGTTTCCCAGTAGTTTATTTTTTATATTTCATGTATTTAGTTTTTGTTTATGTATTAGGGCCTATATTGTACAGTGTACTTGAACACAAATGTGAAAGGTGCACGATAAAAAACGTATATTATTATTATTATTATTATTATTATTGTTCATTATTTATTTTAGAGCATTAGTTCAAACAAACGAACATTTATTAAAAGAATTAGAAGATGAACAGCATAGACATCGGCATGAGGTTGAACAACTACATTGGAGTTACGATCAATTGAAAAAATCTCTAAGCTTCTCTCGTGATAAAACAAACCTATCAAGAAGTTATAATGGTGATAATAGTGAACTGTAGTTTATCAATGCTATAGTGATGAACTGTGATTTAATGTGTTGAAAAATGGTGACACTTTTATTCTGTAGTTTTTTGTGATAAGTTAATGGTTACAAGACCTATTGTGTTATTTGACAGTGATAAACTGTATTTTATCATTATGAGTGATCAACTGTTAGAACTGTAGAATTGACAGTGATGAACTGTAATTCATCATAAGGTGAAATAACTGAAGTTGCTACTGTAAATTATAATGAGCTAAATAATTAAAATTATCTTGTGAATCTTGTGATAAAAATATTGTGAACTGTAGTTAACAATGACCATGATAATAAATGGTCTACTATAGTTGTTGTGAGAAAGGTCTAAATTATTTGAAAATGAATTTGTTAGTTAATGTATTTTTTTGAATTTCTTAACCTTTATGTGAATGAAATATGAATATTTTTGAAATGTAGGATATTACTTGGTAGTAAAGATGACTTATTTATGGAATAAAATAATTTCAACTATTACATTTAGAATTCAGTATTATAAATTATTGTTAATATAGTTACAATATTCATTCAATATACATTAAAATTATTTATCCAAAAAAATATATAATTTTAATTCATAGGGTATCCTCAATAGATTTCCTGATGTCATAAATGATCATTTGACCATCAGTTGATTATTATACGCCCACACGTAAGATGGGCGTATATTGTAATCACCCCGTCAGTCCGTTCGTTCACATTTGGCTCGTGCTCACTCTACAGGCTACAGTTCTTTATGGATTCTTTTGATTTTTATTTTGTGTGTCAATGTCATTATGAAGATGATCCCTATTGATTTTTGTGATGATCGGATAATTTTTCACCGAAATATCGTGTCTGACTTGACGTTTTTCTCTATTAGCTATATTGTGCAACTCGTGCTCACTCTACAGGCTACAATTTTTTAAAGATTCTTTTGATTTTTATTTTGTGTGCCAATGTCATTATGAAGATGATCCCTATTGATTTTCGTGATGATCGGATAATTTTTCACCGAAATATCATGTCTGACTTGACGTTTTTCTCTATTAGCTATATTGTGCAACTCGTGCTCACTCTACAGGCTACAATTTTTTACAGATTCTTTTGATTTTTATTTTGTGTGTCAATGTCATTATGAAGATGATCCCTATTGATTTTCGTGATGATCGGATAATTTTTCACCGAAATATCGTGTCTGACTTGACGTTTTACTCTATTTGCTATATTGTGTAACTCGTGCTCACTCTACAGGCTACAATTCTTTACAGATTCTTTTGATTTTTATTTTGTATGTCGTTATGAAGATGATCCCTATTGATTTTCATGATGATCTATCGATTTTCATGATGATCGGATAATTTTTCACTGAAATATCGTGTCTGACTTGACGTTTTACTCTATTAGCTATATTGTGCAACTCGTGCTCACTCTACAGGCTACAATTGTTTACAGATTCTTTTGATTTTTATTTTGTATGTCAATGTCATTATGAACATGATCCCTATCGATTTTCGCGATGATCGGATAATATTTCACCGAAATATCGTGTCTGACGTTTCACTCTATTAGCTATATTGTGCAACCCTGTAATCACTAAAGACTGTTTAATCATTTCTGACAGCTGCCAGTGGGCGTATGTTACCTTGCCTGGCAAGCTATCTTTTTAATCTTTCAATAAGCCTTTGTAAATTTTTTTTCCCTGGCAAAAATGTGAAATCATAATCAATCATATGGTCCAATAATTATTTTTAATAAACGTATGGGACGTACAGAATATTACAGAGCAAAAATCTGACTTCATTGACATTTAAATTGAATAATATTACCAAAACTATAACAATTTTGGCAGATCAAAGTGACATGTTGCACTATGTTTGTCTTTGTGTTTGAGAATTATATGAATATTTATTTTCGCTTTTTTGTTCCCACCTCACACAATATGAACTTTGTGCGAATCCCCCACCCCCTCTCCACCCCTTTTAAAAAAAGGAATGAAAAGAAAAAGACTGGAAAACAATTGTAAAATAAATCCAACAGATTTTTCATTCTGAATTTTCTGAACTAACGGTAATCAGGGTTTGGTCTATTCTAACCTTTTACTACAACCGAACTGTCCGTTATAAGAGATTATGGACTAGGCTCTGATTCAATGGCAAAATAGTGTTACTAATAATAGATATTATGACACCGGAAGTAGTAGCAGGCGCGCGAAATTTACACACCAAAACATAGGAGTTAGGGCTTCGTCCCTAATTTTTTGGCCAATTTTGTGGCCAATGGCCAATTTTTATGGCCGGCCAGTGGCTGTGTACAAAGGAAAGAATTTAATTATGAATTACAATATTATGACAAAAAACGATATTTTCTATACAATAGAATCTCTCATAGGCTCATAGTACATTCTTCAGATAAAGATGGTGCAATCAGGAACGTTAATATAAAAAAAAATTCAATATAATGGAATTTTCATGGTTAACTGTTTAAAATATGGCCAATTCTTTCAGATAGAAATATGAATGAAAGTTTTGGTGCCAGTGAGGAGCTGAGATGCCAATCTAACATATTTAGGTGTACAATGGGGAGAAAAACTCTTTATTCCTATAATTTCTCAATATGGCCAGTGATGGATATACAATATGGAGGACTGGCCAGTCAAAGACGAAGCTCCTACATGGCCAATTTTTGCACAGTCCACAGTAATGGGGGTGGGGCAGATTTTTGAATGGAATTGGCACAAACTCAATCACATAGCGCCTTCAGACCTGTGAATATCTCCAAAATTCCATCATAAAGGTATTTTCATGCCTAACTGTGTTACTGGCCAGTCAGTGACGAAGCCCCTACATGGCCAATTTTTGATAAATGGCCAATTTTTTCCGATGGTCTGCTGTGGAATTATGAATGATATTTTTGGTGCCAGTGAGGTCCTGAGATGCCAATCTAACATATTTAGAATGTACAATGGGGAGAAATGCTCTTTATTCCTAAAATTCCTCAATATGGCCAGTGACAAATATCCAATATGGCGGACTGGCCAGTCAAAGACGAAGACCCTACATGGCCAATTTTTGCACAGTCCACAGTAATGGGGGTGGGGCAGATTTTTAGACGGAATTGGCACAAACTCAATCACATGGTGCCTTTCGACCTGTGAATATCTCTAAAATTCCAAAATAATGGTATTTTCATACCTAACTCTGTCACTGGCCAGTCAATGACGAAGCCCCTACATGGCCAATTTTTGATATATGGCAAATTTTTTCCTATGGTCTGCTATGAAATTATGAATGACATTTTTGGTGCCAGTGAGGTCCTGAGATGCCAATCTAACATATCTAGGTGTACAATGGGGAGAAATGCTCTTTATTCCTATAATTTCTGAAATATGGCCAGTGACGATTGTCCAATATGGCGGACTGGCCAGTCAAAGACGAAGCCCCTACATGGCCAATTTTTGCACAGTCCACAGTAATGGGGGTGGGGCAGATTTTTAGACGGAATTGGCACAAACTCAATCACATGGTGCCTACAGACCTGTGAATATCTCTAAAATTCCAATATAATGATATTTTCATGCCTAACTGTGTTACTGGCCAGTCAGTGACGAAGCCACTACATGGCCAATTTTTGAAATATGGTCCATTTTTTCTTATGGTCTCCTATGGAATTATGAATGAAAGTTTTGGTGCCAGTGATGTCTTGAGATGCCAGTCTAACATATTTAGGTGTACAATGGGGAGAAATGCTCTTTATTCCTATAATTTCTCAATATGGCCAGTGACGAATATCCAATATGGCGGACTGGCCAGTTAAAACGAAGCCCCTACATGGCCAATTTTTGCACAGTCCACAGTAATGGGGGTGAGGCAGATTTTTGGATGGAATTGGCACAAACTCAATCACATGGTGCCTTCCGACCTGTGAATATCTCTAAAATTCCAAAATAATGGTATTTTCATGCCTAACTCTGTCACTGGCCAGTCAATGACGAAGCCCCTACATGGCCAATTTTTGATATATGGCCAATTTTTTCCTATGGTCTGCTATGGAATTATGAATGACATTTTTGGTGCCAGTGAGGTCCTGAGATGCCAATCTAACATTATAAGATGTACAATGGGGAGAAATACTCTTTATTCCTATAATTTCTCAAATATGGCCAGTGACGATTGTCCAATATGGCGGACTGGCCAGTCAAAGACGAAGCCCCTACATGGCCAATTTTTGCACACTCCACAGTAATGGGGGTGAGGCAGATTTTTGGATGGAATTGGCACAAACTCAATCACATAGTGCCTTCAGACCTGTGAATATCTCTAAAATTCCAATATAATGATATTTTCATGCCTAACTGTGTTACTGGCCAGTCAATGACGAAGCCTCTACATGGCCAATTTTTTATATATGGCCAATTTTTTCCTATGGTCTGGCCAGTGACAAAGTTAGGCATGAAAATACCATTATGTTGGAATTTTAGAGATATTCGCAGGTCTGAAAGAACTATGAGATTGAGTTTGTGCCAATTCCATTCAAAAATCTGCCCCACCCCCATTACTGTGGACTGTGCAAAAATTGGCCATGTAGGGGCTTCGTCTTTGACTGGCCAGTCCGCCATATTGGACATCCATCACTGGCCATATTTTAGAGATAATAGGAATAAACAGCATTTTTCCGCATTGTACACTTAAATATGCTAGATTGGCATCTTAGGACCACTCTGTTACCAAAAACTTTCTTCATAATTCCTAAGTAAACCATCGGAAAAAATTGGCCATTTATCAAAAATTGACCATGTATAGGCTTCGTCATTGACCGGCCAGTAACACAGTTAGGCATGGAAATACCATTATGTTGGAATTTTGGATATATTTAGAGATCTGAAGGCACTATGTGATTGAGTTTGTGCCAATTCCATCCAAAAGTCTGCCCCACCCCCATTACTGTGGACTGTGCAAAAATTGGCCATGTAAGGGCTTCGTCTTTCACTGGCCAGTCCGCCATATTGGATATTGGATTGGATATTGGACAGACCATAGGAAAAAATTGGCCATATATCAAAAATTGGCCATGTAGGGGCTTCGTCATTGACTGGCCAGTGACAGAGTTATGCATGAAAATACCATTATTTTGGAATTTTAGAGATATTCACAGGTCGGAAGGCAGTATAAGATTGAGTTTGTGACAATTCCATCCAAAAATCTGCCCCACACCCATTACTTTGGACTGTGCAAAAATTGGCCATGTAGGGGCTTCGTCTTTGACTGGCCAGTCCGACATATTGGATATTCATCACTGGCCATATTTGAGAAATTATAGGAATAAAGAGAATTTCTCCCCATTGTACACCTAAATATGTCAGATTGGCATTTCAGGACCTGACAGGCACCAATAATATCATTCATAATTCCATAGCAGACCATAGGAAAAAATTGGCCATGTAGAGGCTTCGTCATTGACTGGCCATTGACAGAGTTAGGCATGAAAATACCATTATTTTGGAATTTTAGAGATATTCACAGGTCACAAGGCACTTTGTGATTGAGTTTGTGCCAATTCCATCCAAAAATCTCCCCCACCCCCATTACTTTGGACTGTGCAAAAATTGGCCATGTAGGGGCTTCGTCTTTGACTGGCCAGTCCGCCATATTGGATATTCGTCACTGGCCATATTTGAGAAATTATAGGAATAAAGAGCATTTCTCCCCATTGTACACCTAAATATATTAGATTGGCATCTCAGGACATCACTGGCACCTAAATATCATTCATAATTCCATAGCAGACCATAGGAAAAAATTGGCCATTTATCAAAAATTGGCCATGTAGGGGCTTCGTCATTGACTGGCCAGTGACAAAGTTAGGCATGAAAATACCATTATGTTGGAATTTTGGAGATATTCACAGGTCTGAAGGCACTATGTGATTGAGTTTGTGCCAATTCCGTCCAAAAATCTGCCCCACCCCCGTTACTGTGGACTGTGCAAAAATTGGCCATGTATTGACTTCGTCTTTGACTGGCCAGTCCGCCATATTGGATATTCGTCACTGGCCATATTTGAGAAATTATAGGAATAAAGAGCATTTCTCCCCATTGTACACCTAATTATGTCAGATTGGCATTTCAGGACCTCACTGGCACCAAAAATATCATTCATAATTCCATAGCAGACCATAGTAAAAAATTGGCCATTTATCAAAAATTGGCCATATAGGGGCTTCGTCATTGACTGGCCAGTGACAGGCATGAAAATACCATTATGTTGGAATTTTGGAGATATTCACAGGTCTGAAGGCACTATGTGATTGAGTTTGTGCCAATTCCATTTAAAAATCTGCCCCACCCCCATTACTGTGGACTGTGCAAAAATTGGCCATGTAGGGGCTTCGTCTTTAACTGGCCAGTCCGCCATATTGGATATTCGTCACTGGCCATATTTGAGAAATTATAGGAATAAAGAGCATTTCTCCCCATTGTACACCTAAATATGTCAGATTGGCATTTCAGGACCTCACTGGCACCAAAAATATCATTCAAAATTCCATAGCAGACCATTGGAAAAAATTGGCCATTTATCAAAAATTGGCCATGTAGGGGCTTCGTCATTGACTGGCCAGTGACAGAGTTAGGCATGAAAATACCATTATTTTGGAATTTTATTCATAGGTCGGAAGGCACTATATGATTGAGTTTGTGCCAATTCCATCCAAAAATCTGTCCCACCCCCATTACTTTGGACTGTGCAAAAATTGGCCATGTAGGGGCTTCGTCTTTGACTGGCCAGTCCGACATATTGGATATTCATCACTGGCCATATTTGAGAAATTATAGGAATAAAGAGCATTTCTCCCCATTGTACACCTAAATATGTCAGATTGGTATTTCAGGACCTCACAGGCACCAATAATATCATTCATAATTCCATAGCAGACCATAGGAAAAAATTGGCCATATATCAAAAATTGGCCATGTAGGGGCTTCGTCATTGACAGGCCATTGACAGAGTTAGGCATGAAAATACCATTATTTTGGAATTTTAGAGATATTCACAGGTCGCAAGGCACTATGTGATTGAGTTTGTGCCAATTCCATCCAAAAATCTGCCCCACCCCCATTACTGTGGACTGTGCAAAAATTGGCCATGTAGGGGCTTCGTCTTTAACTGGCCAGTCCGCCATATTGGATATTCATCACTGGCCATATTTGAGAAATTATAGGAATAAAGAGCATTTCTCCCCATTGTACACATAAATATATTAGATTGGCATCTCAGGACCTCACTGGCACCTAAATATCATTCATAATTCCATAGCAGACCATAGGAAAAATTGGCCATTTTTTAAAAATTGGCCATGTAGGGGCTTCGTCATTGACTGGCCAGTGACAGAGTTAGGCATGAAAATACCATTGTGTTGGAATTTTGGGGATATTCACAGGTCTGAAGGCACTATGTGATTGAGTTTGTGTCAATTCCATTTAAAAATCTGCCCCACCCCCATTACTGTGGACTGTGCAAAAATTGGCCATGTAGGGGCTTCGTCTTTGACTGGCCAGTCCGCCATATTGGATATTCGTCACTGGTCATATTTGAGAAATTATAGGAATAAAGAGCATTTCTCCCCATTGTACACCTAAATATGTCAGATTGGCATTTCAGGACCTCACTGGCACCAAAAATGTCATTCATAATTCCATAGCAAACCATAGGAAAACATTGGCCATATATCAAAAATTGGCCATGTAGGGGCTTCGTCATTGACTGGCCCTTGACAGAGTTAGGCATGAAAATACCATTATTTTGGAATTTTAGAGATATTCACAGGTCGGAAGGCAGTTTGTGATTGAGTATGTGGCAATTCCATCCAAAAATCTGCCCCACCCCCATTACTGTGGACTGTGCAAAAATTGGCCATGTAGGGGCTTCGTCTTTGACTGGCCAGTCCGCCATATTGGACAATCGTCACTGGCCATATTTGAGAAGTTATAGGAATAAAGAGCATTTCTCCCCATTGTACACCTAAATATGTCAGATTGGCATTTCAGGACCTCACTGGCACCAAAAATATCATTCATAATTCCATAGCAGACCATAAGAAAAAATTGGCCATTTATCAAAAATTGGCCATGTATAGGCTTCGTCATTGACTGGCCAGTGACAAAGTTAGGCATGAAAATACCATTGTGTTGGAATTTTGGAGATATTCACAGGTCTGAAGGCACTATGTGATTGAGTTTGTGCCAATTCCATTCAAAAATCTGCCCCACCCCCGTTACTGTGGACTGTGCAAAAATTGGCCATGTAGGGACTTCGTCTTTGACTGGCCAGTCCGCCATATTGGATATTCATCACTGGCCATATTTGAGAAATTATAGGAATAAAGAGCATTTCTCCCCATTGTACACCTAAATATGTCAGATTGGCATTTCAGGACCTCACTGGCACCAAAAATATCATTCATAATTCCATAGCAGACCATTGGAAAAAATTGGCCATTTATCAAAAATTGGCCATATAGGGGCTTCGTCATTGACTGGCCCTTGACAGAGTTAGGCATGAAAATACCATTATTTTGGAATTTTAGAGATATTCACAGGTCGGAAGGCACTATGTGATTGAGTTTGTGGCAATTCCATCCAAAAATCTTACTACTGTGGACTGTGCAAAAATTGGCTATGTAGGGGCTTCGTCTTTGACTGGCCAGTCCGCCATATTGGATATTCATCACTGGCCATATTTGAGAAATTATAGGAATAAAGAGCATTTCTCCCCATTGTACACCTAAATATGTCAGATTGGCATTTCAGGACCTCACTGGCACCAAAAATGTCATTCATATTTCCTTCGCAAACCATAGGAAAAAATTGGCCATATGTCAAAAATTGGCCATGTATAGGCTTCGTCATTGACTGGCCAGTAACACAGTTAGGCATGAAAATACCATTATTTTGGAATTTTAGAGATATTCACAGGTCGGAAGGCACCATGTGATTGAGTTTGTGCCAATTCCATCTAAAAATCTGCCCCATCCCCTTTACTGTGGACTGTGAAAAAATTGGCCATGTAGGGGCTTCGTCTTTGAGTTGACTGGCCAGTCCGCCATATTGGATAATCGTTACTGGCCATATTTGAGAAATTACAGGAATAAAAGGGCATTTCTCCCTATTGTACACCTAAATATGTTAGATTGGCATCTCAGGACCTTAATGGCACCAACAATTGCATTTATAATTCCAAAGGAGACCATTGAAAAAATTGGTCCTTCTTCATTATCCATATTGGCTATCCGTCACTGGCGAAAGAAATGTTGAGAACTAAGTAATGATTCTATTCATTACACGCCTTTAGAGGCTTTATTTGAATAATGAAATGAATTACAAATTTTTCGTTTTTTGATTTAATTACAACAATTACAATCAATCCAAAAAATTAGTGTATCCATGGGCCACAAAAATTGGCCGGCCACTGAAGTAATGACGAAGTGTCAATTGGAAACATAAATAAAACCTGCATAAATCTGACTTTTACCATTTGTCATTTATTCTTGCTGTTCTGATTGTCGACATCATTGTCGCATGTCTATTTAAACATAATTACCACCCTTACTAGATATGAATCGCCCTCCATCTATAAATACAAGTACCGGTACTAGAACTAAGCCTATGAAGTTTTGGAAACCTGGTAAGCCTATTTTTAAATTGTAGTGCATGTGATAAATGAAAAATGTTAATGATAATTTCTTTATTCGGTATAATGGTCCTTTTGCTTTTGAGCTAAAATTATTTTGAGTCCTGTTGACAGTCTGCGTTCTTCAGATATTTGATTCCTTTACAATATAGTGGTGTAACCTATAGTCGTGCATATAAGGATTTAACACCGAATTTTGTCAAAATTTTGTTTAGTCTTAGATGATTCCTCAGATATTCTTTAAAATAATTAAAATTGGTTTGTTTGGTTTATGAATCTCTTACTTTGACTCATACTTCATGATTAACTAACTCGACTATGGCTCCAAAATGCGTCACCTATTTTCGTGTTATTAAATGTTTGATCTATAGACAAGTCGCGAAAAAAACACTTTGTATGGATACCTGGTGGTATATTTACCTTTTTCTTAGCATTTATTTTTAATAATATTTCATTATAACTAATGACAATTCCTTCAAAGAACAATACGTGTGAAAAAAGAAATAGTGAGTGTCAAAATAAGCTAAGTAAAACGTAAGAGTAATTTATTGCTAAAATTCATTGAAACAACATTGTGTTCTATAGAATTTATCTGCTGACACAGAATCCGCTAGTTTGTGACGTGACTGCGTTCATTGGAATATATTCTACTAGACGACCTTGGAATTTCAATTAGAGCTTTGTATTATAAATTCGCCCGATAAAAAATTGTGATATTTGGTAATAACTGAAATCCCCCATTTTGTATGTGTTAGAAATACATAATGGATTTGACTTTGAAATGACAAGAAAAATTATGCAAGTTGACGTATGTTTATAAGTGCATGCAAATGTGGTGGTCACATGTGAATTAATAGACACTGTTGCAGTTTCGACCCCTTTCCCTTCTCGTTGAGCTATCGATTTGAGCATCATTTTTCGAAGATGTTTGAAAAATAGGTTACCACGAAATTAGGTTACTTGTCTGTATATAAAACACAGCCCCTTGAAGTTCTGTGAATATTAATAATATATGGGCAATGTGGAGAAAATAGTACTCGACAAAAAACACTTTTGACTTGCTTTTGTGCGGGACTGCAGTGTAATAATGACGTTTTGCTCATGACTATTTTCCAAAACTAAACAAAAGTGGTTTTTGTCGAATACTAATTGATTGATTTCCAATAAAAAGTACACCGGAGTCCTTCGTTCAAAAACACCAAAAAAAGTCTTTAACGAACAGATGAACAGCTTTGTTTACATTTGTCCCTGTTATGCCATTGGAAGCCTTTTCTTTTTTATGTAAGTTGACACTTTTTTCTCCACATTGCCCATATTTCATTAATATTGACAAAACTTAAAGGGCTTATGTATTTGATATATTTGAAATATCCATCTTGTTGGGCTCTAAATATGTTTGGTTTAATGGTCTCCACAAGTTTAAGGAACATAACTACTTAAGGTATCATTGGCCTACTAATAAAAACTAATCAAAAGATTTTTTTGATATAGGCAGTGAAGCTCCAGGAAGTCAGCTGAATCAAGAAAGAATAAAAGAGCATGATACAGATTCCACCACTACTGTTTATAATATTTATCGTAACTTGACAATAGAACAACAAAGACTCAAATTACCAGTCTTTCAAGTTTGTTTGATATTAGTGTATAACATTTTATACGCTCACATGGAAATATGGACGCATACTGCTGTCACCCCTGTCCGTAGGTCGGTCTGTCCATTCACATTTCCTGTAGGCGTGATAAAGGCTACAGTTTTTATCTGATCTTGATGAAACTTTGTATGCGTGTATATATTGATGAGATAATCGGATGAACGGTTACAGAGTTATTGAAAGATTTTGTTATCATTTCTGACAGCTGGTAGTGGGCTTATGTTACCTTGCCTGGCAAGCTATCTTTATATTATAGTAGCAGGATTTTACTTAAAAAAAGCAATGACTGAAGCATAAAATCCAGCTCGCTATCAAATGACCCATCAAGAGATAAATGTAATAAGTCAGGTGCAGACTCTCGATTTGAAATAAGCTTAATTATTTAATTGCCCTTTTGCTGTACCATGCCATTTATATTATATGCTCATATGGAAATGTGGACATATTGGCATCACCCCTGTCTGTCCAATAGGGGTGACAGTTTTTATCCAATCTTGTTGGAACTTGTTATGCATGTATATATTGATGAGATCTCGGTCAAGTTCAAAATTGGTAATAATCGGATGAACAGTTTCGAAGTTATTGCCCTTGACTTCGTCTTGATAGAGACTACAGTTTTTTTCTGATCTTGATGAAACTTAGTTTGCATGCATGTATTGATGAGATCTCAGTAAAGTTCGTAAATGGTAATAATTGGATGAACTGTTTCAGAGTTATTGTCCTTGACTTGGTAAAAAACGGATTTATAAATTATTTTAAGAATATTTGAAAATTTATTATTTTTGAAAGCTGGTAGTGGGTGTGTGTTACCATGCCTGGCAAGCTATTTTAGAAGTTTGCGGAATTGCAGAATTTTTTCTTATTGATTATATTAAAATAAAACACTAAGATATATGGATATACTACTTCTGCATTTATTACATAATACTTTTCGGAACACATACAGGCAACGTTATCAAGTAAAATTATTATGTTAATGTTTTTTGATTATATGTTTTTTAGTGCTCAGAATAATGATTAATACTCTGTAAATTTCAGCATCGTAATAATATTCTACATCTAGTAGAAAAATTTCAAACCGTAGTTATTATTGGTGAAACAGGATGTGGTAAAAGTACTCAAATACCCCAGGTTAGTGTAAATGAAATACTGAAATGAACTCAAAGGAGCAAATAAACAAATTTTACATCTTATGCAAATATCCAAAATGTACATCATCGGCAAATATACATATCAGTTTGACACAGTACATTACATTTGATAATTTGTTTTTATGATGCAGAATCAGTGACAAATGATAGGAGATAGATGCCACAGAAAATGGCAATTTTCATAACATGTTGCAGACCTTTATTTTCATATATTGTGCATATTAATTAAAGTGATATTTATTTTATTGATAGTATTTATTAGAAGCAGGTTGGGGTAACCAAGGTTATTGTATAGGTGTAACACAACCAAGACGTGTAGCTGCTGTTTCTGTGAGTTTCTTTTTGGCATCACCCATGTCCGTCAGTCCGTCCACAAATGCTTGGAAAACTTTCGAAGATACAATTTTTGACGGATTTTGATGAAACTTGGTGTGAGTGTCCGTAATCATCCAAGGATGAACCCTATTTAAAATCAGACGAATCAAAAACTATTTTGTATGAGTTATTGCCCTTCTTCTTGAAAACATGTTCAATTTTAAGCCTGTAAACACTCCATAAGGCAGAATTTTTGACAGATACCAGTGAAACTTGGTGTTGTTACTAATCACCATATAATGAACCCTATCGAAAATCAAAAATATATTTAGAATGAGTTATTGCCCTTGGTCTTGGAAACGTGTTCACTTTTTAGTTAGTTAACAGTCTAGATAGCGCAATTCTCGAAGAATTTTGAGGAAACTTGGTGAAATTATTTATTATCACCCATGGATGTACCCTATTGAATCAAATATTGAAAAATATTTTATATGAGTTATTGGTCTCATTCTTGAAATCAATTTTTGGTCATAAACACTAAAAGGCACAATTCTTACTGGATTTTGACAAAACTTGGTAATACATTCTTCAGTATCACCCAAAAAGTTCAAAAGAGGTGTATGACTGAAGGTTGAATATTTCATACTGCCAAATATTTTTATTCAAAATCAAAGATGCCGATGTATCTGATGTATTACTTAAGAGCTAACAAAGTTTGGAAGATTGAAAAGCATGTCAATGTGTTCTATTTAGTTTGCTGAAAAATTTAACCTGATCTAAATTAATCAGTTGTAAACATAACATGATTACAGTGACATCTGATTTGTCTATCTCTAGTGGCTTATGAATTCAATGCTCCTTCCCAAAATAATTGTTGCGAGTATATGATTAAAAAAATGTCTTAGGTCAGTTTGAATTATGAATGTAGGTTTGTTCACGTGTAGCTGAAGAAAGAGGGTGTTTATTAGGAGATGAAGTTGGTTATTTAATAAGATTTGATGACTGTACAGATGAACACAACACTAAACTTAAAGTAAGCTGAACTTACAAACACTGGCAATCAGAAATCAGTCATTTGATATTTTTTAACACAGGTATTCACTTTATAAAGAAAGATAATTTAAAGAAAAATGATTGTGTATTTAATCATTTTACCTTCTGAATGTACTTTACCCTCTGGTTGAAAAATAGACTTAGTTTGAAGGCAGTTTTGACATACCAAAATAGATAGACTTTTGTGATCATATTTTTTTCATATAGTTAGTGGCAGGTCAATTTTTTGATCTGTTAAGCTTATATTATGTTTTTAATTAGAAGGAAGTGGACTGTATCCATTGAAATGCTTAAGCCCAACGCAGACAAGGAACATTTATGTCGACGAACAAAAACATGGAACAAATATATTTGTTTTGCGTTATTCGCAGAGGACAAAGATAATTCTGCAGACGACGAACATTTAGCTTGGACAATAAGCCAGTGCCACGGAAAATCACATGACCTCAAAATGGCGACGTCCAGAAGAAAGTGTAAAATAGCGTTAGCTATTTTATTAATTTTAAAAAGACACCAACGTAGACGGCGAAATATGAGCATTTGGGTCCGTACCTGGATTCAACGTCGTAAAGAGCAGGGTGTGTTCGGTAACCTTGTACAGGGGCTGTCGGCTGACGACGCAGAAATCTATCGGCAATATTTCAGGGTTGACAAAGTCAAAAATCATAAACAAACAGGCAGATTGCGACCACATATCTAAAATCTGCTTCTTCTCCACAGTACAAAATTGTGTGTTGGTGGATTCACAGGACGTGGCCATTTTGAGTGTCATGTGGTCTGGCTTCGAACGCTGATTAGTTTTTCGTCGATGAATGTTCAGCGCTAATGTTCGTCGTTAACGCAGACGGCGAACAAAGAATTGTTCGGGAGGCGAACAATTTTAAAAAATCAAACATGTTTGATTTCACGAACAATTCTCACGAACATTTTTGTTCGTGTTTCTGTTATCCGCAGACGGTGAAAAAAAATGATTGAAACAAAATTTTTACGATTGTTCGCTTAAAATGTTCCTCGTCTGCATTGGGCTTCAATGAATTATATTTACTATGTAATATTTTATTTCAGTTTTTAACTGATGGTATGTTAATTAGAGAAATAATGAAAGATCCTCTCCTTTCAAAATATAGGTAATTATTATTATTCAATTGTACCTTCTTAACAAATTATTTATATCACTTAATGTATAGTTTTATTTATCATCATCGTATCACGAATACAGGTTTTGACATGTTCTTATTAACACATATTAAACTAAGCCCGCTACACTTCATTTTGGGGCCGTGGAAATGAGATTGGTTGCATTTAAATCTGACCAATCAGATCGGTAGAACAGAAATGAGGTCATGTTAACAAAACATAACATCACTTTGCCGCCGCATGTTCGAGGAGATAAGAACACATTCTTTCAAAGTTAATATTCCAAAGTAAGGTTTGATTTCTCTCGGCTTTTTATATGCCCACATTATAATGTGGACGTATATTGTCGTCAACCATGTCCGTCTGTCCACGATTGGCTTGTGAACGTGATAGAGACTAAAGTTTTCATCTGATTTGAATGAAATTTGGTGTGATCATTTATATTGATGAGATCATGGACAAGTTTGATATTCACGATTTTTCGTTGCACGGTTTTTGAATTATTGTCCTTGACTTATGAAAAACGTGTCAAAATTTGTTTGTGAACACAATAGAGAGTACAGTTTTCATCCGATTTAAATGAAATTTGTTGTTAATATTTATAATGATGAGATCTTAGTCAAGATTGAATTTGACAATTCTTTGATCAACAGATTTTGAGTTATTGCCCATGACTTAGTAGAGACGCATCAAAATTTGTTTTCAATCAGGTGATAGTTTATGTCAGAATTTTATTAAGTAATGTGTATTTGTTTAAATCAACAATATCTTGCACAAATTAGATTTTTGGTATGATTTAGCACAGCTAGGTGACTGCCCTTGATATACTGAAAATGTATGAGGAAAGTAGGCGTATCTTGCTAGGCAATCACTTGTATTCTTTAACGAAAATCTTACTCAATTCTGTACCGTACGCATTCATCAAAATATGTAATGGAACGCTGCTTTCGTTTTGTTTATGTTTGCAAACAAAACGTCATAACGATTGATTTGTTTTGATTGGCTGAAATTTGCTACCAATACAGTAGGGCCAGTTTTGATTGGACAATATTTATCTATGAATACGTAATTTTTCTCACTTGTGTTACCACGACCCCGAGGAAGTATGACACGATGATTTACCAACAGCACAGATTTAACAACTGATGACAACTTTGATTTAAGACACACGTCAGTTTATCTGGGGTTTTTTATACACCTGAATTTTTTTAACATACTTAATCCCTGCGACCTCCCAAGTTTTGTAAAAGTCTATGAAAATTACTCATTTCACCGTCAGCTAAAGTGGTTTTATTTGGACATAATCCACTCTTTATTTGCGTCTTTAGATTTTATAAATAAGGCAGATTTTTTTTTCATTATTTCTATTTTAAGTATCATTATGTTGGATGAAGCTCATGAAAGATCATTAAATACAGATATTATAATGGGGTTAATGAGAAAGGTAGTACTTATGTTTATATATTTTATATATTGACTTGATTGTGTTCCTTATTCTTAAATCATGCTCTCAAATAATTGAAGTGATACAGGTCCATGGAAAAACTGTTTTACGTTCTACATAAAAATATTGCATAAATATTAGCAATACTACCGTTTTTTAAAACCAGCACTCTAGTTGATGGATTAGAAACCTGTATTGATATTAATAGACATTGTCTTCTCAATTACATTTACTAACAATAGTCAAACTTTTAATATATATTTTCAGATTCAAAAGAAAAGAGATGATTTAAAACTTATTGTGACTTCTGCTACATTGAACGCAGAGGTATGATATATTTTATAATGATGATATTAACCTGGAAGGAAACAGAATATACATCGCTCAGTTTGAGAAAATATCATTCTTTTAAGTGTTTCCTTTAACTGATATTTTTCTCAAAATCGAACATTTTGTAATGTTGACACCATGTTTGATAAGTTAGAGATATGATGCAATCTATATTTATCTCTTTTGAAGCATTTCTTAAATTGAAAAAGGCTTTCTCTACTGTGTGAACAGATTAAGCATATCACAGTAAATTGCTAATTTAGAAAATGAAGATCATCTCTAGCAGTCTTAAACAATTAATTTCAGGAAATATGTGGTTTTTTCAACACCAATGAAAGTGATAATAAAGAGTACGTAAATAAGATAATCTCTTCAGATTTCAGTCAGTCAAATATCAATATATATAATTCACACTATATTTTCTGTCCATGGTACCCATTTTAAAAAAAACATCACATAAAGTGTTTTTGACATAAAAGTTGGACTTAATAGTTAGATAATTGTAGCTGTGTTGTTTATTACAGTATTTTATGATTATATTCTAGGAATGATACAGCTTCCATATTAACAATAGAAGGTAGAGAATATCCTGTTGATATTCATTATACCATAGAGTAAGTTAAATTCATGGACATACAATGATTTATCTGTTTTGCATTGTTATAACACTGAGGAAAAAATAAACGACTGATTAGTTTGGGTTTCACGATTTTAGATGGAATGGCTTTTTATACGCCCACATGAATATATTGTCGTATATTGTCGTCGCCCCTGTCTGTCGGTCGGTCCGTCTGTCAACATTTCTTGTGAGCACTATAGAGACTACAGTTTTTATTATACGCCCACATGAATATGTGGTCGTATATTGTCTTTGCCCCTGTCCGTCGGTCCGTCCGTCAACATTTCTTGTGAGCACTATAGAGACTACAGATTTTATCTGACTTTGATAAAACTTGGTGTGATGCTTTAGATTGATAAGATCTCGGTCAAGTTCGAATTTGACATATTTTCGATGAACGATTTTTGAGATATTGCCCTTGACTTAGAACGCCTTGAAATTTGTTAAAAATTGTTCGTGAGCAGGATTGAACCTACAGTTTTGATTCGATTCTGATGAAACTTGGTGTGATCATTGGAATTCATAAGATCTGGGACAAGTTCTAACTTGACGCATTTTCGATGAACGGTTTTTGCGTTATTGCCATTGACTTTGTTAAAACGCGTCAAAATTTGTTAAAAATAGTTCGTGAGCAGGATTGAAGCTACAGTTTTCAACCGTTTCTGATGAAACTTGGTGTGATCATTGGAATTAATAAGATCTCGGACAAGTTTTAATTTGACGCATTTTCGATTAACGGTTTTTGAGTTATTGCCCTTGACTTTGTTAAAACGTGTCGAAATTTGTTAAAAATAGTTCGTGAGCAGGATTGAAGCTACAGTTTTCAACCGATTCTGATGAAACTTGGTGTGATCATTGGAATTGATAAGATCTCGGATAAGTTCTAACTTGATGCATTTTTGATGAACGGTTTTTGAGTTATTGCCCTTGACTTTGTAAAAACGCGTCAAAATTTTTTCGTGAGCACAATAGAAGCTACAGTTTTCAACCGATTCTGATGAAACTTGGTGTGATTATTGAAATTGATAAGATCTCGGACAAGTTCTAACTTGAAGCATTTTCGATGAAATGTTTTTGAGTTATTGCCATTAACTTACGAAATACGCGTCAAAACTTGTTTATGAGCACAATAGAAGCTTCAGTTTTCAACCAATTCTGATGAAACTTGGTGTGATCATTGAAATTGATAAGATCTCGGACAAGTTCTAACTTGAAGCATTTTCGATGAAATGTTTTTGAGTTATTGCCATTAACTTACTAAATACGCGTCAAAACTTGTTTATGAGCACAATAGAAGCTACAGTTTTCATCTGATTCTGATGAAACTTGGTGTGATCATTGAAATTGATAAGATCTCGGACAAGTTCTAACTTGAAGCATTTTCGATGAAATGTTTTTGAGTTATTGCCATTAACTTACGAAATACGCGTCAAAACTTGTTTATGAGCACAATAGAAGCTACAGTTTTTAACCGATACTGATGAAACTTGGTGTGATGATTGGAATTGATAAGATCTCGTACAAGTTTTAACAAGAGATAGTTATGATGAACATTTTTTGAGTTATTGCCCTTGACTTTGTAAAAACGCGTCAAAAGTTGTTTTTTGCCCTTGATTAGAGATGTGTGATTTAAATGTTTGTTGTATTTGGGTTATTGATATTGATTTTAAAAATTTTTGTGGAATTATTCAGCATAGCGTATGTTACCTTGCAACGCAAGCTATCTTTATCTGATTTTGATGAAACTTGGTATGCATGTATATTTTGATGAGATCTCAGTCAAATACAATTGGATGAAAGGTTTTGGGGTTATTGCCCTTGACTTAGTTAAAACAAATCGGCATGATAGAGAAAACAGTTTTTATCTGATCTTGATGAAACATATGCTTGTATATATACATTGATTAGATCTCAGCCATTGAAATTGGTAATAATTAAATGAACAGTTTCAGAGTTATTGCTCTTGACCTAGTAAAAACTCATAAAATTTGGCTAGTATGCATGATAGAGGCTACAGTCTTCTTCTGATCTTGATGAAACTTGGTATGCATGTATATATTGATGGTTCACAGTGAAGTTAGAAATTGGTAACAATTGGATTGGATGAACGATTTCACAGTAAATGCCCTTGACTTACGAAAAAAACATCAAATTTTGCTTGTAGTTATTGACATTGATTGAATTTAATGGTAAATTGTTGAACTGTTTTTTTAGGCTTTGCCTTCACTTACAAGTATTTTAAATTTCTTTCAAAATTTATTATAAAGGTCTCTTATGACATAGCTATGATATCTGACATCTGGTAGTCGATGTATGTTACCATGCCCGGCAAGTTGTCTTTTATATCTTTTTAGTCCAATACCAGACTATTTAAAATATGCAGTGGAAACTGTTACGAAAGTCCATTTTACTCAGAGACCTGGTGATGTATTGGTTTTTTTAACTGGACAGGTAATGTCAGTTATTTATTTCTGACTTGAATATAATAGTCATGGGTTCTTATCTTGTCTGGCGTCTGAAAATTTTTAAAATATCAATGTCAAGATATTGAGTGTTGAGTTTTATGGAAGATTCTCTCACTGGCCCAGATCACAAAAAGAGAACATACTTCTTTTACATCAATTATCACTTTGAGTAATAAAATTGAAATTGAAATGGTACTATAAATGTTCTGTGCTGGGTGCAAAGAGAAATTACAACCATGTAAATTCTGAAAAGCCTGGAATAATACAATGCTTACAAAAAATGAAAAAATAATTTAAAAAACATATTGCAATTGTTTCAGAGAGTTAATGGAATGGGGTCTAATTTGCCATGGACATGTAAATTACTTAAATTTGTGTTTCTTTTCAAAGCAGAAACCAAACATTTAGTGAAAATATTTGGAATTGATTTTTAAGTTCCTAATAATATCGTTTGACAATCAGAGTAGCATTTTTGGCAGTGGAATTATAGGTTGCAACAAGGAGTATGATTTGATTGTCATGCTGAATATTTAGATCACTAGGTACAAAGGTTTGCAATTGATAATCCAGAAACTCTCTGTAATTGCTTATTTTTTGGGTTTAACAGTAGGTAATAAGGGAACTTTTTCAATTGGCATGAGATGAATATCTTCAATGGTTGAAATGATTCGAAATTGGTCTATCTGTCTTATGAAGTATATCAAAGCAATGACTGCTAAAATGAGTTCGCAACGCATTTTGGGTTTCATCGTATTTTTTTACAAGAAATTAGATAAATTACTTTTTATACGCCCACATGAATATATCTGATTTTGATAAAACTTGGTGTGATGCTTTAGATTGATAAGATCTCAGACAAGTTCGAATTTGACATATTTTCGATGAACGGTTTTTGAGATATTTCCCTTGACTTAGAACGCCTTGAAATTTGTTAAAAATTGTTTGTGAGCAGGATTGAAGCCACAGTTTTCATCCTATTCTGATGAAACTTGGCGTGATCATTGGAATTGATAAGATCTCGGACAAGTTCTAACTTGACGCATTTTCGATGAAATGTTTTTGAGTTAATGCCATTAACTTACGAATAACGCGTCAAAATTTGTTTGTGAGCACAATAGAAGCTACAGTTTTCAACCGATTCTGATGAAACTTTGCGTGATCATTGGAATTGATAAGATCTCGGACAAAGTTTTGAACAAAAGTTGTGGTGTGTGTCAGTTTCTTTGAAATATTCTTTGATCTCTAATTTTTTATTTTGATTAAAATACAGCCATGTCCAGAAAAATTCAAATTATATTAAAAAATATTTGCAGTTAGCTTGACGGAGGATGGTGATTATTCAAGATTTCAAAATATTCCCAAAAGTTAAAAGATCCAAGTGAACATAAGTTGTCTTTGTAAAATAAGATTGTTTCTACCTTTTTCTCTTTTTTTGTCTGATAGACTATAGCTACTTGATTAATTAAAAGTTTGTAAAAAAGACAGTTTTAGGTGACAGCCTTTTAGATAGAAATTTGTTTTGTATTGTAGGATGAAGTACTAAAAGTTGTTGATTTGTTAATGTAAGTTATCTCCCTTATATTAAGATATTAAGATATTAAAATAAGAATAAAATTTCTATAGTAGTGCGAACAAAATTACCCTATATTTTCTTTCAAATCTTCAAAAGTCTTTTTTAAAGACAACATATTGATTTTATAGACCAAACGAAACTTTAAAAAATAGACCTCCAAATGAAGCTGTAGAATTGCAGATGGACACAAATTTACAAAATTTCTTACTTTAGCTTCAATACCAAAGGCAAATGTTTAACGAGCTGTTACTTCACCTGACAAAGCTGACTGTCTAAACAGATTTTTCATATCTCAATCACAGAACACCTCAAACACGCCTTGTATTTAATTTCAGAACAAAATCTAAGTATCATATCAACATTATTCAAAAAATGATTATAATCATATCTTTAACTTTTCTGTCATAACTAATCTGCAAAGCAGCTTGTTACAAGAAAATTCCACTACTTATCAACTAATTGATCTTATTCACTTCTTTTGTCAAGCCATAGATCAAGAGCTGTACATGAGGCAGTTGACTGTAATATCAGCAAGGCGTTGGACAGAGTGTGTCATGCTTCTCTCTGTTCTTAACCTCAGGCATCAGCGTGGAAATGCTCTAGTTTTTGCAAGATTACTTGAATAACATAGTTAAAACAGAGTTGATGTCCTTGGAGTTTTTTCTGAACTTTTAACTGCTCCTTCTGATGTTCTTAGGGTAATGTCCTTGGACAATTATCATTTTATCAAAGATCAATTGTCCTTTTTGTCATCATCCTATTGCAAAATCCCAACTAAGATTTTCCATGCAGTTTATACCTTTTTCTTGAAAATTCTAAAAAAAAAACTCTGAAAAAAAACTTGTATATCTACAAATATATTACAAAGTTTTAATGATATAAGTAGTTATAGTAGTGAGATATATCACAATTTTCTATCATCTGATAATTCATTAGGACAAAATTGCCACAAAAGGTAAATTTGGGACAAAATAGGTTTATCTGATTGCATGCTTTATTTTTATGTCCACACTCATTACCTCTGTCAGGTAGAGATTCATTTCTTGCCTACTAGCTTGAAGGTTTTTATGTGACAGTTTTGAATGATAATTGAAGCTTTAATTGTTTATAACTACTCATCATCATCTAAATAGATTTTGGTGGTGAAAAACAGGATATTATTTATAATTGATTTATTTAATTTCAAGCCTAATGATACTGCTTTTAAAACTCTTTATTTTCAGAGAGGAAGCAAGGAAATTGCCCAAAGATAGTGAAAAATTACAAATTTTACCAATGTATGGTAGTTTACCAGCCCCAGAACAGGTTTGTTATATTGTCCTTATTTCCTTATCATTTGTTGGTTTAAAAATAACCATTAAAAATTGGTTGAAAAATTAATCAAACAATAATTTGACATTCTAGATGAGAGTTTTTAGTCGTACACCTCAAAATACAAGAAAAGTTGTTGTAGCAACCAATATAGCTGAGACTTCAATAACAATAAATGGTATTGTCTATAGTAAGTACTTTATGTTGAAATATCACAAATACAAACATTATAAAAAGAATTCTAAAAAAGAATTATATTTTATTTATTATTATTAATAATTTTTGTTGGTTGGTATTAAAACTAATGTCCTTATTCTGAAGGTTTCAACTAAAAAAAGAAAATGTTAATACCCAGGAACCCTTTTAAAACAAATTTAGAATGACAAGGTAGAAAGATAGAAGTAAATATAGAGAAAATTAAGAATTACTGAATGTATGATTTAAATCCATATTAGTAATGAAAATTTTGCACACTTTCCCTTTCAGCAGGAAATCAATTTGTCATGTTCATTAGTGGATGACGTCTTTGACTTAGTTTATTTAGCCTTAGCTGTTACTTGAACATTAGGATGTTAACTTTAATCTTATGATAATGTAACATATTATTTGTCTTTTCAGTAATTGATTGTGGTTTTGTTAAGATTAAAGCGTATAATCCAAAGACTGGCGTAGGTAGGTAATAGAAATGAATTTGATCACATCACATGTGCTCTTTGTAGTGCAGTTTCCATTATACAAATCCATTTCTCTTTAAAACGTCACGATTTTAGTTAAAAATATTGATTAAAGAAATGATGATTGGTACAAATCCCCAAAAACCAATAGAGGCATTGGTCATGTTCCAATTTGGTAATGATAAAATGAACGGTTTTGAAGTTATTGCCCCTGATTTATGTAAATATGATGAATTGATATCGACTATGTGACTCATACTGAGGGGCAAAATATTTCTTAGGGGGTCTGGCTTAGCTACAGCCTGGCTATTGATTTAAAATGATTTAGTGGAAAAACTGACAGTAAATTGATGAGATATTACCAAATTGTAAGTTTTTGAACTACAAACGCATTAATGAAGGTCTTCAATATAAAGCAATTTGTATTTTAGTCACACAGCTACCAGTGGTTGTATGTAACCTTACCTGGCAAGCTATTATATTCATATTAGCTTGTAGTTGTCCTGAACGTCATACATGAAGGAAATCATTGAAATAATTGAATTTTTTAGAAACAAAAAGATCATTCATTTGAATTGCTTTGAATCTTTATTTAATTTGCCATAGAAGTTCATGTATTCTCATTATCTTGGTTTGAAAGTTGAGACAAATTGTCAAACTAAGTTATGAAATATTAACTATTCTGTCTAGGTCATTTCAAAGAGTTCAGTGATTTATAATTGTACACAGCATGTTAGTAATATAAGATGTAATGATGTATGTTGTAGAGAGTTTGATCATTACCCCTATATCACAAGCATCGGCCAATCAAAGAGCAGGAAGAGCTGGTCGTGTGAGAGCAGGCAAAGCATATCGTCTTTATACAGGTTTGAAATTTATCCAATTGTAATCATCTTCAACAAATATGGTAAATGTGTCTTGATTTTCTCGGCTAAAAAATTATTATTAAGTTGTCCTAAACCCTTTTATTATACGCCCACATCTCTCTATGTGGACGTATACTGTCGGCACCCCTGTCCGTCCGTTGGTCCGTCAGTCAACATTTGCTTGTAAACGCTCTAAAAACTAGATTTTTTGATGGAATCAAATGAAATTCGGTATGTGTATACATATTCATAAAACGAAGATCAAGTTCGAATTTGAGCTATTTTCGACCATTAAAAGCAGAGTTCTTGCCCTTGCCCCAAAGTCTTGAATATGCTATTACTCTCTTAGTTTTCAACCGATTTTGATGAAACTTAAAATGGATGTTATTGGACCTAAATCGAAAGGTTTGATAAAGTTTAGTTTACTTCTGATTAAATTCAAGGCTTTTTCAAGATTTAGTCCTCTTACGTCAGTTTTGAGGAGTTATCGCCCTTTAACCTCTATACAGTAAGTGCTTCTATCAACATCAATTGCTCGTAAACTCTCTAAAAACTAGATTTTTTGATGGAATGAAATTAAATTCGGTATGTTTATACATATTCATGAAACGAAGATCAAGTTCGAATTTGAGCTATTTTCGACCGTTAGAAGCAGAGTTATTGCCCTTGCCCCGATATCTTGACTATGCTATTACTCTGCTATTTTCGACCGATTTTGATGAAACTTAAAATGGATGTTTCATTTTTACCATCCGCATGCCGTGAAGGGCGTATGTGGCTGTGGTCCACTATCTTTGATAATTACTATGCTTGAAAAGTTACTGAATTCTTTCAGGATACACTGAGCATACCCCATATACCCCAGACATGCATATCATTCATATTTACCACTGTACTTTAGAATTTTCTGATATTAAATAATAAATAACTATATAATTGAAATATATTAGTTATGTATACTTGATATTTACTGTCATTGTAGAAGAAGATTTTGATAAACTACCTACCTCTACAATACCAGAGATACAAAGATCTGATATGGCACCAGTTATACTGCAACTTAAAGCTCTTGGAATAGCTAATATTGTCAGGTTTCATTTTCTCTCTGTAAGTAGTTTATATGAGTAAATCCTATTAGAATGTTTAATATTCCCTCAAATATGTTCTTCAGGCTGTACATGAATATTAAACTAATCTTATTGGCTGTCTGATGCAATTTGCCTTCTGCTCTCAAAGCAATTAAAAGCATATAATTTGGTATTTTCAGCCACCCCCAGCTCAGAATCTTGTAAGAGGATTAGAATTATTGTATGCTTTAGGAGGTAAATTATATTTATATATAGTAAGCATAGGTTATGAAGTAATTAATCCAACAGAACTTACAAAACACTTTTTACTTGTGAAACTTTTAGTTTTATCATTCTGAAATGATATATGATTGTCACTTTTATTTATGCATGTTCCATTGTGGACTATACTATGTACAAATACAAATCTGAAACTTTCAGGTGGAAAATTGTTGAAAAACATTGGGCATTGGTGCATTTGTTTGTCAAAAAAAGTAACATCTTCTCATTACTCACTGCTTGGTTTCGTCCATTAAGATTTTATTAAAGCATTGTACATGTATTTCTTGTTGAGAACTCTAACCTGTGTATTAAAGACAGTTAGATATTAACCATACATTATAACAGCAAACTATCAATTTATTCTTGAAATTTTCAGCTATCGATGATAATTGTAACTTAAAATCAGAATTAGGACAACAAATGGCTGAGTTTCCTCTATCACCAATGTTTTCCAAGATGTTATTAGTGTCAGGTATAGTTTTGAGATGAACATTTTCAATTGAATGCCTATGAAATGAAACTAAACAAAATATTGATTTAATGACAACTTATTGATGAAGAAGACCATATTATATGCATTTTTTTAGTAAAAAATAATAAATTTGTATTGTTATAGGTGAATATGGTTGTTCTGAAGAAGCATTAAGTGTAGCAGCTATGACACAGATACAAAATGTTTTTATTACTCCCTCTTCTCAAAGAATACAATCTGTAAGCACCTTTCTTATACTCTTGTTTTCCTTAAAGGGACAAGTGCACCATTTTGGGGGGTTGATTTTAGTCTAAAATACATGTAAATAGTCTTCAAAAGTACAAGAAATGTATAAAAAACACATAATTCCTAAAAATTAGGATTTTTACTGACTATTTCTATATTTTTCTTTTCTATATATCACAGAGTATCTTAAAATGCCCAGTAATCATTTTAACATTCAATGATTCTGGACAAATATGGATTTGAACCCTCAAATTTCGACAGTGAGCTGTGAACACTATTTTTGATTAGCTCAACCAAAAAAAATTCAGTTTCTGAGACTAAAGTATGATTGGTCAAAAAAATGTCCAACCTGTCCCTTTAAGTTGATTTTCAACATATCTGTTGATTACCCAATGCAGTCGTTCTTCTCACAAACTTTCTAGAAATTGATCATGAAAATAGAATGTCTTGACGTGTCAAGTTGACATAAAGTGTCTTGTAATACTATTTCAACTTAATTTATCAGTTAAATAAACAGTCCAGTCATGCTAGCATTCACGGTGAAGATTCAGCTACATTGTGTGCAATATGTAGCAGACAATGTTGAACACAAACACTAGATGGTCAGGTTACGTTTAATGAAATGGGTATCATAGCATGCTTAGTACAGCTGATGTAGACAGATTTGACCAATATTTATTGCTTTGATCTTGATCATTAGTTCAATAAAACCTTTACCATCTTTCAGTTCATTTCATCATAAAACCCCTAATAGTCAAAATAAAAAAGCCACCTTATGGTGTAACAATTACGATTTTTGGACAGGTTTTGTATTTAATTTTTCTGAGAATACATTAAGAAGATTTTGATTATTTAGGTAATTTTTTTCAATTTTACAGGATAAATGTCGTAGAAAATTTACTGTTGAAGAAGGAGACCATGTATCATTAATTAATGTGTATGAAGCATTTTTAAAGGTAAGATTTGTTATTTGATATGAAGCAGAATTTCCTGTACATTTTGTGGCAAAAAAATACTCACTGATACTGTGTTTCTGTCAACATTTTAAATTCATATTGAATTTTGTATTATCAATGGAGCTTGCAACCCATCATGATTCGGGTAAAATCGGTAGATGGACAAAAACTTTTTTAACCTTGGTTGTTTGACAGAAATTGAATGTATTGTTTCAAATCATTACTGAATACTGAATACAAAATAAGAGGTTATTTTTGGCTTATGTTAATTTTTATATGCAAACATTATAATGTCTCCCCCATCTGTCCGTCCATCCACAATTGGCTGGCGAATACAATAGATACAACAATTTTTGTTTGGCATGATCATTTATAATGTTGAGATCTTGGACCATTTCAAATTTTACGATTTTTTGCCAAATGCTTTTAGAGTTATTGCCCTTGACTTAGTAAAAATGCAAAAAATTTTTGTGAACCCAATAGTGACTACAGTTTTCATCTGCTTGAAATGAAATTTGGTGTTATCATTTATAATGATGAGATCTTAGTCAAGTTTGAATTTGATGATTTTAAGATCAACAAAATTTGAATTTTTGCCCTTGACTAAGTAAAAACGCATCAAAATTTGTTGGCTTGTGAACGTGATAGAGGTGACAGTTTATGTCAGAATTTTATTAATTCAACAATTAAGGTTATTTATTAAATTGCACAAATTAGATTTTTAGTATGATTTGACGCAGATAGGTGACTGCCCTTGATATACTGAAAATGTATCAGAAAAATAAGCGTATCTTGATAGGTAATCACTTGTATTTGTTCAGAATTTTTAATCCTTTAATACAATATCATGGCGATAAAGATAAAACCTTTCCTCTGAAGTTTCCTGACCCTGACTCTGATTGATTACTGTTTGGTCACTTTATGTAAAGATAAAATAAATCAGGTCAAATGATTGTAAACAATTGTAAGTTAATAGACATATGATACACCAGACACAATGTGTTTTATTACTGTTTAATTAATCTTCTCTTTCTAGTTTGGTCAAAATGCCAAATGGTGCCATGAATATTTTCTAAATTACAAAGGCTTATGTCGAGCTGTTGAAATAAGAAACCAACTAAAAAGAATGTTAATAAAATACAATATACCATTGATATCATGTGGAGGTAGGATTTAGTTAATATATTTTGTCTAAGCTTCAATAAGATGATGTATTATTGTTAAGATATATATTGAATAATCCCTGCTGTGTTCAGTGAGGAATAAAACATTATTTTATTCATTAAATCTTAGATAATGGAGTGCTTGAAATAGCTGATTTATTTAAAGCCTTCGTATATGTTGAAAGGGTATGAACCCTCTGGGGAAGGAGGTTAATATACAGATGGGGGTATTAAAAGTGATTTAGGGTGTGGGGACTGGTCAATTTGAAGTGAAAATAAGGCCTTATTAATGCTTAAAATTCATCTCAGGCCATATGAAATTCCTTACCTTCTTCGGGGCTCTGACCGACCACTGACATGAGACACATCTCATTTTTTGAATCTTATCACAATAGAAGCTCACACAATTTCATCAGATTATGGTCATTATGATTCAGATCTTTGAAGGTGAGGATTTTTCAATGAATGTGTTTGCATTGAATATGTCCAGCAAAGCTTATCAAATCTCACAAGACACTGACTTTAAATTAGACTGTGTCATTCACTTTTGTGACCAAAAATTGAAGACATCTCACTTTCTGGTCAATTAGTGTAGTGTAATGTAATGACCGGATTATCTATCTGATAATCAGTTAATTACCTGTTATTAGTGTTAAATCAAAATGGAAAGAACAGCAGGTGTTAAGGTGACAGAATATTACTTCACAGTTTTAGATAGAACATATTAATGGGGCAGGTGTGCCTTTTTTTTTCTTTTTTTTTAACAATCATACTTTTTTAGCTAAGCCAATCAGTAATAGTGTTAGAAATTTAATTAATTATTCAGGTTTGAATATTAAAATGACGAATTGTCTCTGTAATATGTAGAAATAGTGAGTATAATTCCAAGTTTGAAGTATCTTTAAAGAAATTATACCCTTTTCATAGAGTCAAATCAACCCCAAAAATGGTGCATCTGTTCCTTTAAAATAGAAATGAATTGTGCTACACTGATTCAGTAAAAATACTATAGAGTACTGGAACTTCTTTTTAAGTAACACTTTTCTTGTTCATCTATTTTATCAAATAAAATTTCAATATGATATGCCCCCCTCTGGAAAATTGTGCCAAAATTACAAAGGCAGGTACAAATGTAATTAGAAAGTATCTAACATAAATCAACAGTCTTATCTTGAGCTTTGGCCTTTATCAGAATTAATCTTTTTGATTATGTCATGTGTACTACAACTCAAATATGAGAATATAGTTGAAGTCTGAAAGGGATTGCAAAAACATTAATTAAAACAATGTTCAAATTTTTAAAGGGATTGTAAGAGTTTTCTAAATTTTCACCATTTCAATTTTTCATCAGACATCTTATGACGTCAATAATCGCAAAATTGGAATAGTGAAAATTGATGCTATCAGTGTCCCTGATAAATTTAGAATTTGAATTTCTACAAAAATTTAGTAAACTTTTTTAAACATGTGAAGAATGTTTTTGAGTGATTGCCAATAATTTGATATGATACTGATAATAGATAGTTATAAATCTTTTATATGGTGCATGGGTGATTTCTCATTATAAGTTACTGGTACTTCTTTTTATGTGCCATTATAATATGGTCAGTCTGTCCACAGTTGGCTAGTTAACACAATAGAGACAATGATGAGCTCTTGGATGAAAATTTGGCTATCTTGCAATGAACAATTTTGGAGTTATTGCACTTGATGTGTAAAAATTTGTGAACTTAATTGAGACTAAAGTTTTCATCCAATTTAAATGAAATTTAACTAAGACAACTTCGAATTTGACGATCTTTTGATGAACGAGCTATTGCCTTTGACTTAGTAAATTTCTCCATAATTTGTTTGTGAACATTATACAGAAATTGAAATCATGACTTTAGAGAAATTTGGTGTGATAATCTATTACAATGTGATCAATTAGTCCAGTTTGAGTTGTTGGTGACCGCCCTTGATATACTGAAAATGTATCCAGAAAGTGGGCAATCTTGCAAGGCAACCACTTGTTTATTTGAGCAAATATATTGCCGTAACCACTATCTGCCATATCAGTATGTTTATATGCATATTTGTTAGTGGGAATAAGTAAAAGCGTAAAAATTGGATGGGTGGGTGAATCATATGATGGATTGGTGCTTTTGTTATTGTTACTGGTATGGTTTGGGTAGATTCTTTCATCAAGCAATTTCCTGAGTAATAGCCAGGACTCTTGGAACCCATTGGACTAGATAGACTTTTGACATGATTTTTTTTTAGGATTTTTTTTTAGGATTTTTTTTTGTATTTTTCACATCAATCTTTGAATGTCAATTAGCCCACATATTCCAATATCTATATCCCAGAATAATTGTATTGCCTACAATGAAACTAAAGTAGATGTATTGGATGTAATTGTGTCTCAAGTGAGTCAGGACATTCCGGTAGTATTTAATGGTCGTATAATAATTCCGCCTACATCCATCGGTAGTTTCTGACAGATTCATCACCAGTCAGTCCTCTACATTGACATTAAATCAGTTGGTCATTTTAAATTCAATGAAGTTATCCTTGTGGGATATTGTTTATCAGTAATTGATCATTATTCCACTACTCTACTCAAATCATTATTACATTGTGTCTTACAGTCATTGATTCCTTTATTTGGTCTTTCTTTTGTTTTTTTATGTAGTCTTTGTAGAGAAATGACCAGTAATTATGAGTTAGTCAAAACTTAGATTATTCAGACTCCTGCTAAGCTTTTGATGTTTCACAATGTACTGCTGTGTGAAATTAGAATTTTCTCTTGAATAGATTAATTGGTTATTTGCCTTCTTTGGAAGATTTATTTTCCTCTTTGTCTAAGGATACTATGATTATATTCTGATCTGAATTATTTTCTTCAGTTACTACTTTGCCCGTATTAGTTAAAAGATATTTTCTATGTATGTAGTTTTATAAACCAACATCTCTCTAATACAGCTTTTGCACTTTAAAAGTAATTGATTTCTATCCAGTTTTATCCAAGTAACTTCAAATTGCTTTCGCACTAATACTGTTATAACCAGAAGTGCGAAACCACACAAGAAGTTATCTAGATAAGAATATCACTTCCATTCTTTCAAAAACGTTCTATATCACACTTTCCAAATATTAACCCCTGTGAATTTAACTCTCACTGATCTTAAATATTGGAAATATTTATCAAAGATTTCAACAGATTTTTTTTCATAAAATTTGGTTTATAGGTATATGGAGAAACAAACTGAAGCTGCTTAGTTTGTGTCAATTTCGTATTTAAACATATTGGGTCCTAATTCACTATCTTTCTCATGATGCTGGTACTCTATGTTATATACCCTGAGTATGTAATTTATAGTAAATTACCGGTAATTTGGATCTTCTGAATCTTTTGAGTTTGGTCATCATATGATTGATACTTTCAGTACTTTAAAGATACTTGAAATATTGTTCAAGGAACAAAATAATTTGATCAGCAGTATTTTTATTTTTTTTTGCTATATCTCATTACCTTTGTTTTTAAACTTTAGTAAAAGGAAATTGTCTCTTTCTGTTTTTTTTTTTACTTTTCATGAGTTTTAAATGGAATGAATAGCAGATGGTAACACTACAAATTCTGATTTATCAGACAATATAAGCTATTCATATAGATCATAGAATATATTAGTTTTGATGTCAATGTCTAAATCTTCTTAGACATGAAGTGCTTCTCATGCACTTTACATTGATATATAACAATCTTTTTTTTTAAAGCAAAATTGAAATTTCATGATTTTTTCAGATTTGAGTTTTATTTTTACAATACAAGTGTCTCTTTGAGCTTGGTGTATGTATATCTTATGATCTATTTGATGTAAAACCTTGAAATATAAAATACAACTGGACATTATGAATAGAAAATTGAAATTGATGTGGGCGTGACACATCCAGGTTGAATTACTAATTGTTTACATTTTCGGAAAGGGGCATAACTTGCATAGGATACATTTGTTCGAAAAGGAACTTAGCACACAATTGCCTCATTATTTCAGCCAGTTTGTTTTAATAGCTCAGTTGTTTCAGCTTTGTAGTTCCAAAAAAGGAACGGGTTTTAAAATTTCCATATTTTCAATTTTTGATTTTGACCTTTATTGACTTTTTTGACCTATATCTTTTGACCTATATGATGTAGAAGCTTTAAATTTGGAACAAAATATAATATTCAGAATATCTGTTTAACTTGTGCCAAAAAAAGTGGGCGTGGCACATCCAAGTTAAAATCCTCATTATTGACATTTTTGGTCAGGGGCTTAATTCGCAAATAATACATTTGTTTAAAATGAATCTTTGCATACATTTACATCACCCTTTGAGCCACTTTGTCTTAAAAGTTCGATTGTTTCAGCTTCATAGTTCTAAAAAAGGAACATGTTTTGGAAATTCACAATTTTCAATTTTTGACCTTGACCTTTGTTGACCTTGACCTGTGTAGGATCAAACGTCATTGGCATTGGCTATCTATTTATACTTTTGTATTTGCTGTCCTATGTCCACTTGCGGTTTTATAGCCGTGTACAGTTTGAAAATTTGATGACTTATATCTCGTGAACTTGCCCTTTTTAGATCTTCTCCTTTACAAGATCAAAGGTCATTGACCTTGGCTATCTGATGATACTTTCATTTGTGAGGACTGGTGTCTACTTCCGGTATTTGAATCTTCTAAAAAATGAAAATTTCTCAACTTTAAACTGTCCTTGTACTTGACCTAATTGTCGTCGAAGGTTGATTTTTTTCAGGGTCTTTAGGAAATTGCTTCATTTGCAAAGTCCCACTCTGTGCCATGTGTGGCTCTAGTTATATTTTGTTTCAAATTTTAATTAAAAAAATCTTTGGTTACCTTTCTTTTATCATGTCATATTTATATGCCCATGACACACATCATTATGAGGATGCATATGGACATGGCCTCTGTTCATCTGTTTGTACCTGTACTGTTTTGAACTAGATTTTAATTTATTTCAGTAATTTTTCA